CATCCTTGACTTGAAGACGGTCTCCGCTTTTGAGAACCACCTTGTCGTGGCTGTAGTGGACATCTTCACAGAAGAAGCCATTCTTGTGCAGAGGAATGGCTTCAAAGACGCCAGCTTGGGAGTTGAACTGAATCTTTAAATGTTCTCTGGAGATGGCTTTTGTCTTGGCAGCAATGTTGGGACCTGGGGAATGAATGCCCAGGAAAGGTGTGTGGTGTGGAGAGGGTCGGAGAGCGCTGAGATTAACAGCCGCGGCTCCTGGGGTATGCGAGACGTATTGCCTGTTTGACACCGGACCCTTTCCATCATCAACGGTCTGGTCAGCAGACATCAAACTGCTCTCCACTTCACCGAACGAATCCACAGGTAAAGAAACACCGCCGTTCATCTTCCGCTTCTTCGGGGCCCGGTTATCTGACGGGCGTCCCTCCTCATCTTCCTCATCATCCGACTCGGGACCCAACATGCCGCCCTCTTCACTAATATATGACTTTGAAAATCGGCGAGCGTCTTCAGAAGGGGGAGCCGGTGGGGTTAAACCCTGAGCTTCGTACTCGTCTTTCAGTCGCTGGTATTGCTCGGCACGACGCTCCTCTTTCTTTGCTAACCTCCAGGCACGTTGGTCACGACCGATGATGAGGGCATAGGTTGTCATTTGGAAGACACCGTCGGCGAATTCCAGTCTGGCAAAGGACTCGAGCGAAGCGTCGGCTGCAGCCGCGGCGGCGGCGGGTGGCTGGATTCCCCCCTGGGCTGTTATATGTGGCAGATGCGAGGCATTGGCTTGATCGAGCTGCATCTGGGCCAGCGAGACCTGCGACGGACGGACGGTATTTGGTGGGAGGGGAGGTATCTGCTGTAGCTGTTGTTGCTGGGTGGTTACGGAGAGCGACTGGAGGAAGCTCATGAGAATATGGCCACTCTGGGACTGTAAGAGATCCATGGTGGAAGAAGGAAAATCCATGTTGCCCAAACCGTCGACCGCTGGGGGGGCTTGAGTGTTGAAGGGAGCTATTGGAGTTCCGTCCATGGCGAGACCTGTGAAGTGTGAGGTGGAATTTGTAGAATTTCCTGCTACGGTTGTTGCTGCTCCTCCTACTGCTGCACCTGCAGTTGCCCCGACACCCGTGACCTGCGGGGTGTCCCTGCCACCTTTAAGGTCTGTGTTCGGTCGATTCGTTGGGTTGGAGTGCGCATTTCCATTCGTCTTGGGCTGGTCGGCGGCATTATTCGTTTCGAGCTCGCTTTCAAGGGGTTGTACGGAAGGTTCGCGAGTACGAGGGTCGGGAACTGGATCGGTTAGGGGAGAGATGGCCGGTCGTGGGGGTGAGTTGAGGGTATAGCTGATGCCGTTTTCGAGGGCAACGGAATCGAGCTTGTGAGCAGGAGCATCGAGGACCTGTGGCTGTGGTTGTAGTAATGACTGCTGCGGTTGCGACTGGGACAGGGTATCTGGTGGAGGGGGTGCCGGCTGGGACTCTGGCTGTGGTGGAGGTGGTGGAGGTGGAGGAGGAGGAGGAGGAGGAGAAGGAGGAGGAGGAGGCGGTGGTGGTGGTGGTTGTTGTTTCTGTTCTTGATGTTGCTGCTGCTGTTGTTGTAGTTGTTGAATCGGCGGTTGCGGTTGCGGTTGAGCGCTCTCGGCGCCTGAGGGTGCGGACGAAGTCATCGCTTGCTCCGACATAACAAGCTCCTTCGCCTACAGCGCGAGGTAGTGGTAGTGGTGCCCTGGTCGAGGCCGGCTCCGCGGTGTGCCAATCTGCCAGTTCGCAATGCGATGGGTGATGGAGAGGGTTCAAAATGCGCCCAGGGCGGAAGATGGAATGACGGGAAAGATTGCTGTTGGCGGGACGGGGACTGGAGCCGGAGACGGGACCGCTGCTAGCACACCCACCCAGGTTGGACAAGCCGACTGCAACTGCGACTGGACGGGGAAGGGTCCGCGTACCAATGCTGGACCTTGTGCTAATGCGCCGGCAATTCGCAATCCGTAGCGCGTCCGTCCCTCGCTCTCGCTCTCTTGAGGTCTTTCTCTACGTGACGAAAGATGGGTATGTAGGTACAATCTTCCACTTCCTTGTGATAGTCCAGCCTTGTGTCGACTGCTCTCTGCCTTCCTGGTCCAAAGTGAGCAAAGTGGGACAAAAGAGCGTCAGTCAATGACAGACTGGCGAATCGGGTGTAAGGACAGTCCCGTACGTACTGCGTACATGTCCCTTCCCCCAGCGGATTCAGAAGGTGTTGAGCCTGTCACGATTGCGCTGCAATTGCCTGCTTCTAGATTGCGGAGTGTCCTGCGGTTTGGCGTAGGTAACTTTCTTGAAAAAAAAAAAGGCTGACCTTCCACCCTTGCTTGCTGTGGAGTCCAAACTTTTTTTGAAGTCGTACGGGAAGCAGGCATGATTTCTAATTGGCTGATTGAACCACAAGATCCCCGCACCGTTGCAGCGTCGGCCGCCTGAGCTCCATCGTCCTTTTCACAGTTCTCCACTTTGAAAGCAAACTCTCACTGACGCTTTCCTACTGTATTGTAGTGTACACTGTTCTGGTGTTTGGACATTCACTTCCTTCTTGACTTTGAAAAGTCAAAGGTTGTCATCCGATTTCCTACCCTCTCTCGCTCTGTGTCTTGTTGATTGGTAACTACCTACTAGCCTGTCTTTATGAACTTGGAGTGATCAGTTCTATTTACCCGGGCTTCATCACCTTGTACCGAACAGTGCCTTCGGGCCCTCCCCGGATCCACCAAGGACTGGACCGTTGTGATGATCGGCCCATCCTCCGTGACTTCCGTTCCGGGTCCGACACTCATCGAGAACCGACCACAACCTCCGTCCTCTGTCTTTAGCTATTCTTCAGCTACTAGGTACAAAAGTATTCGAGCGGCTATCTTGCAAACAGACTGCAAGGAGGAAGGCGGCGAGTGCCTTGCATGGACTTGTCAGCGCCACTGTTGCGCGCAAGCGAAAACGTGCTAGCCACACCGGCTTGAACCTGATGAAAGCTCAAGGGTTGCAACCATGGCTACCATCATCACCAGTTCGCCGTGCCACCCCCAATCCAGCCTCAACCAAGTGGGAAGCTGAGCCTGCATGGAAGCCTGCGTTTGAAAGACACCATCCAAACTCCCCTTAACGATGTGCCTCGTCAAATCATACAACTCTTTACTCTCAGCTCGGTCACTCGTTCACGTCGGGAATAATAGTCCCCCACTGCGCATTCTGTAGAGTCGCATAGCCCCTAGGTTGTATTTGCATTTATAAAGAATGTCAACACCACAATGTTGACATCTGCGTATTCACTGCGCCGCTTGTTCAGCACTGGTGAGACTGACGTTGCAAGTGCAACTCCTGATACTTCCAAATCTTCTTGTTACGGCACCATGGGACATCGAGTGAATAGTGTCATGTATAAATATATAATATAATATGTGTACGTGTGCGTGCGCTATCAGCTCTATGTTTTCTGACATGGACTATGTGTATGACCATCACAACCCTTGGCTGCCCAAGAAATGGATACCCAAGTTTCTCGCCCGCAGACACACATCGCGCATGCCATGTGTGGCTTCGAACACGAAACAAGAAAAAGAGATACTCCAATAACACAACTATCCCAGGCCGGACATTCCACCTTTCACAAAGACAACTCTCGATCATCCTCGGTATATGATGAGATAGTCGAAAGCTATAGCGACACAGCACCTAAAAGACACCAAGAAGAGTTCTCCTCAACTGCTCGGAATACCGATTCCCAGCCGGCACTACGACGGGAGGAGTGGTCTACAGGAGCCCAACCACGCAACAAGCCAACAAGTCCACGTCTTTCTCCCCGTAACGGCACCTTTTTCGATGCCTTCCGCAACCAACAATACTCAGGCTATCTAAAGCCACCGCCTCTCTCAGCATCAATTTCAAGGCCTGTCGAGACAGCTCGCCCTCAAGGCCGGTCACGAAGCTCCCCCGTTCCTCTCATGCATCGCCAAACTTCTAGACTCAGCCTCTTTCCCAGGATCGATCACGCTCCAACTGTGATACCAAGTCCCTCCTATTCCGCACCCGAGATATCAACACCATCCCATTATCCAGCATCAAGCACAGCCATTAGTGTCTCAAGCACGAGGCCCTTGACCGCAGCACCACCACCACCACCTGTTCCCCCGAAAGACACTTCACTTCGACCACCCGTTCCCCGGAAGGACACTCCTTCTCTACCACCGCTCAGGGTACCCTCACAAACTCTATCTACTGGCGGCGACGCCTCCATGAGAAACCCCATCAAAGGCCCCGCTCTGTACACCCAGCCCCGTCCCGTCCCGTCGACTCCAGGTCCCTGCCGTCACCAGCGCCAAGCGATGCGCCTCAACACGCCCTACATGCAAATGCTTCTCGCCCTTGACAAGATACCCCGTCTCCATAACATCCTCGTTTCGTGTTTTACCTGGCTCCTTCTCGTTGCGTTTATTATCGTTACCGGATCCTTTCATACCCCTTCTGGATCCGTCGTGTATCCCATGGAACCGTGGTTCGCCGTCAGCCTAGGTTGCATGGCCCTCGGCATCCTAGGTTGCCTCTGGCTCGGCATCCGGTGGCGGAGAAATTATGTCTGGTTGATTAACAGGCTGTATATGCCTCTGTTTTTGAACGGAGTGGCGGGTGTGCTGGCTACTTTGGTGAGTGTGTATGCGCAGCATGAAGGGGGGTGGTGTTTTCCGGCAGTAATAGCAATGGTGGTGGAAGGGGTTTTGATGGTTGTATCGGTAGTGTTGCTTGGGGTGTATAACTTTTGGTTGTTGAGGAGGGTGAAGAAGTTTAAAAATGGGTATTATGGTAGGGGTAGAAAGGAGTGGGAAGGGGAAGAGAAAGAGGAAAGGTTCAAGAGTCGGGGATGGAATGCGCCGCCTCATGCACCGGGAAGTATTGTGTAGATGGTGTGTGTAGAAGATTAGGACAAATAGCAGTGGAATGGGAGTGTACCCTAATGTAAGTCAAAGAGGAAGTGTATATAGATGTTCAAGTGCTATGTATAGGTAGCCTTGACAGATCAGTTTGAACACGAAATAATACTAATGTTAAATAAGGGTATCAAATCAGCGCAAACCAAACTTGAAATTCCCAATCATTCGCATCACCACCACCGCAATATCCAATCTCACCTCAAAAGCGGACTCTCCTCATCAACTCTCCCTTCCTCCTCCTCCTCCTCCTCCTCCTCCCCCAACAGCCCCTGTTCCCCTCCTCTCCCCTTCTCCTTCCCACCACCCATCCACGCAGCAACCTTAAACCCCCCATAACACCCCATCCCCGCCAAAAACCCAACCCCATCATTCTTAAACGCCAAAATCGTCCCCGCAGTCATCAACATGACCATCCTGTCCTGCTCTTCTCCTTCCACATTTCTTACACCAACCCTCGCCAACTCCACCCCCGCACCCAAAACCATGACTCCCAAAAATGCTTTGGGAAACTTACCCAACAACCCCAGCAGCCCTGGTCCAGGAAAGAACAGTCCAAGTAGGAATTTTGTGAGACCTAGCAAGATGATGGAGGTCCCGCTCCGCGCGCCGAAGCGGTGTTGAGCGGCGAGTCCGCCGGAGCCGTGGCAGAGGGGCATGCAGCCAAAGGGGGCAGAGAGGAGGTTCATGGCCGAGATGGAGAGGGAGAGGGGGGTTAGGGGGACTGGACCTTCTTCCGAGGTGAGAGAGGAGAGGGGTTTCGGGTTTTCTGAGGGGGGTTGCGGGGGTGCCGATGATAGTGAAGAGGACGCCGAAGGGGATGGAGATAAGGGTGGGTCAGCCGATTCATCATCATATAGCTGGGGATAGGAGTCCGGAGGGAAGAGATCGGAAGCGAGTGCTGAAGCGGCAATGATCGAGTTGAGTGTCGTCAGCGGGAGTTGAGCGATCGCCATGCTTAAAGCTTGCGGGTTGAGCAGCGAGCGGAAGACTTCGGGGTGGATGTGGTTAAGGGGGTTCCAGATCCATGTCCAGGGAGCCGAGTTCGTCGGTTGGTCGTAGGGTGGTGGTGGTGATGGTGGTGGTGACTGAGGAGAGTCCTTGGACAGAGAAACTCTCACTACAGCAAACACAATCCCAACCAAAAATAACACCAACGCGTACGGTACCTGTACCGGCATCCTGCTCCTCTTCTTCCTGCTCCTTTCTTTCTCTCCAGACTGCTGCTGCTGCTGCTGCTGCCCCAACGTAAGAACCAACCCACCAAAAGCCAACACCGCCAACGCCCTACTATCCAACCACTTCCCTAATCCCCCATCCCCATTTTCTTCGGGCGTCCACAACCACCCCAAAGGTCTAACCATCCCACCCCCCGCCGCCACCACCAAACTCATCCCCGCTCCCACTTGCACCCCCCTCACCACCGCCCCCGGCACCCACCTCATCACCCTCTTCAGTCCTCCCGTCCCGCCCAACAGTAGCACAGCAAAGCCAACCCACGCGCCCGCCGCTACCGTCGTCTCCAAATCTGCATTTCCCTGGAGAGAAGCAGCAGCAATCGCTTTCATCGGTTGAACCGGTAGCGGGACGCCAAAAACCAACCCTGTCAAGATGTTGAATAGGCCAGAGAAGATTAAAGTGGAGGGGAGGTCGATGGAGCCTTGGAGGGAGAGGGCGAGGAGGAGGGGGAGGAGGGTGCCTAGGTCCCCGAGGGAGCCGGAGATTTCGGAGAGGAGGAGATGGGGGGAGAGGAAGTGGTGGAGGTTGTGGGTTATTATACGGCGGAGGCGGGATATGGTGAAAAACATTTTGTTTTTGAAATTTTATTCTGGTGGGTGATGGTGATGGTTGGGGTTGAGATTTGGGAGGGTTAAGGATTATTGTGTGGTGATGAGGAGGGTGGGTTGGGGTTGGCGGGGCATGCTGCGTGGTGATGATAGTAAGGTAGATAGAAATTAAAGGATGGAATGGAATTGTTTAAAGGTTGATTGTGAGAGGTTTGGAGGTAAGTTGCAAAAATGAGCTTTATGATGTTCAAGAGACGGATATGTGGGATCGATGATGTTGAGGGGATAGTATGGTCCCCCGCTCTCATTGATTGTCGTCGAATTACGAAACAAAATTTGGTGGAGTAATTCATCGCCCAATTAGGAAAGTCGTCGATTAGACGGTGCTACGATGCTGATGTAAGTGCGACACTCAACTGTAGCAAGTCGCACACAACGCTTCGATGGTTAAGATGCAAAGATGCAAAGAAGAAAGAATTATAATTCATCATTCATTCATAAACATATTACAATCGAACGCTCAGCCGCCCTTGAAGTAAAATAACAAAAGAACGCCCTGACGCTTGGTATCATTCCTCATCAAAAATCGTTTCCTCCAATAAAATCATCCCAAACACTGAACTGATATCACAAGTTGCCCATTAATGTGTTTTCGTTCTTGCTTTTTTCTCAGTTGAAAACACCAAATACTGGTCTTTTGACTGTTGTTCATCTTAGTCACAATCAGTGACTTAAAACCACCTCCTGCGGCGAGGAGGAGCAGCGGCAACCCCGTAGTCGTTCTTAGGTTCGAGGTCCCTGTTCCTCCTCTTGTGGATTCTAGCCGAGCAGCAGGTGATGAAGAGAATGATCATGCCGAGCAGTGAGCAGATGGCAGCAGCCAGAGTGGTCCAGGCAGCGGAGCCCCAGTGCGCGCGAGAGCCGCTGTCGTCGTCGTTGACGTTCGACTTGATGATGCTGAAAGTGACAAAGTCGATGATCATGATGACGACGGTGACGATGAAAGCCAGAGCGGCAACCAGCGAGGCGAGGAAAGAGCCGACGAGGCCGGCGCCCAGGGCGAGGAGGAAGGCGATGAAGTTGAGACCGCAGGCGATGGGGTGCAGGATCATGGCCTTGGTGAGTGCCTTGGTGGTGTTCTCAGCGTAGTTGGAGAAGGAGGTACCCTCGATCATGCGCATCACGTTGGCAGGGTTATAGCCGACGTGGGAGGAAGAGCAGGAGTCACTGTTCAGAAGGTTAGTATGATGCATATCCAGGAATCGTAAGAAGGGTAACTCACGCTTGGCCATCGGCAATCTCGCACCAGCCAAAGGTGCCAAAGGTTACCCTCTTGAAACCGCCCACGTGAAGTCTTCCGAAATCGACCTTCATGATTGAAATGTCATTGATGACAGGTGCAGAAATGCAGGTGACGATGAGAAGCACCGTTGCTACTAGTAGCAGAAAAGTGCCGAAGTGGTGGAAGAAGCCTGTTCTCGCCATTGTGATGGTGTGGTTGAGTCGTGATAGCTGAGGTACCTTGAGCGAAGAGAAGTAGGCAAGTTGAAGCCGTTTGATGTAAGTCGTCCTCCACGTATAAAGACAAGTCGAAGGTGCTTGCTGGTATGTAAATCACAGGAAGGAGGAGAGTTCGGCTGGGAGACAGTGGGTGACCAAGGCTGATTTAAAGAAGCTCTGGTATGTTGAATGGACGATGTGAGTGAAGGGACGATGACAGCCAATCATAGACGGAAAGTGTCTAACATGTTTCCGGTTCTTGGCGTGTGATGCCATCCCACATGGGAAAACAGCCCTGCGACGTCATTCCAAGCCCCCAGTGTCCCCTTCCTGCTTGACACAGAGTGCCCCCTTCACTCAGTGCAAGGCAGCTGGAGTGACCTGCCCTGCGGCCCAGCCCTATTCCATCAGACTTGGCATCTTGTCTTCAGACGGTGGCTGGCTACCTTGACAAAGCTGCCTTTGTTCCATGGGTATCGGCTGTGACGGCTCTGAAGCTCTGCTGCCCTGGCTATGTTGAACGGCCCGGGCATAAGAACCTGCTGTGTAGTGTATGTGTGACCTTGGAGGTGAGACGACCTTAGAAGTGGTGGTGTCGCCAAGCCTGATTTACCCCGGCAGTGCTCTGGCGGGACTGACGTAAAACTTGTAGGAGGGTCAACATCCCGATCCTAGGCTCGGGGTGCGGCTGCAGGGTAACTTGAAACTTCAGGGTAGCCTAGCAGAAAGCCGAGGAAGTCCTTAGTTGAATGGGGGATGACAAGGTAACCCATCTGGGGCTTGACGTTGTCCCAGGTGCCAAGCCAACCGTTTGCAAGACCCATTCAGGGCAGTCGATATGAGCACAACGATGGTGATGACGGAACCAACTCAGATAGGTTATTCGCTGGAATACCTAGTTGTACCCGAGAAGACTGCCGTGAGCCATAGCAGCACACTTCACACATGTTGGGTGTGTCTTGTTGACCTGAGACAGAGTGGTGGAAGAGACAACGTAACGTCGATTATACATAAGTCACGATACCCGTGCTGTTGTCTTTAACTTTCCGATAGAACAGCTTGTGTGATCTGCAATTTCTTGTCAACAAAAGTATAAGTCCCAGGAGAGTCAGCTTGTCCAGCACATTTCAAAACATGATGTTAGGACCTGGAGATCATCGAAATAGCTTGTGGAGACAACCCCACGAATTCACGATAACTGTCGCCATTTTCATGGCCAGGGACGCGACATGGCTGCCACGTGCTTGCGAGCGGAGGTAGACCAGTTCCCCAGATTGCGCATCGAGATCCGGTTGAAGACGCTGTTGTGATGAGATGGGTGAAGTCAATTGAAGAAGACAAATAAACAGATGGTGCGTGACGGATCCCTTTAAGCGGCAGGCCAGGTGGGGTCGAAGGATGATGTTTAGTGTCATCCAAGACACCCTAACCCTGCTTCCATTACCACTTCAACCCAGGGACGACGACATTCCTGTTCGTCATCGATGCATGCAACGATTCGTTTTCGTTTGCATGGTAGCTGAAAAAATTCCAGGAGGTCGGAAGTCTCATATAGACTCCTCAAATTTGCAACAGTACGACGTTCTCTGTTCTAGAAGATGTCGAAAGAAAGCCATCTGGAAAGAACTGCAAAGGAACCCCGTGATGAGGTTGTTCACCCAAGACTTGTGAATCGCTGCACCATGACTGACACTCGTGTAGGCACTGCATACCGTTATTATCCAACACGTCAACCAAGTCAACGACTCTATTAGAGTATTTCGGTTCATGATCCCCAACCAGACGACAATCCAAGTAAGCATCACTCAAAGGATCAATCACCTTCACTCCCAGCAGAGTGCTGATTCATTACCCAGTTCTCTGCGGGGCAATGGCTCGATGTCTACGTTCCGACTGTGTCTAAGGCCGGAGTTTTTACCATAACCTCTGCGCCCTCGGCTGCAGTTGCGCAACATGGACTAGATGGCCAGGCACCACAGGCCTATCTTGAACTAGCTATCCAGAAGTCACCAGATAATCCACCAGCTGCTTGGCTTTGGCAGCCTGTCCCGGTGGTCATGAATGCTGAAGTCAAGGTCCGCGTTGGAGGCAGCTTTATCTGGCCGCCGGCCGGCATCGACGTCTCATCACTTCGCAAGGTTGTACTTGTGGCTGGTGGTGTCGGCATCAACCCCTTGATGAGTATCCTCACCGCCATTGCGGATGACGTGAAGCATGGAAAAGTTTCTGAGATTTGTGAAGTGACAATGCTTTATTCGATGAAGGACCCCGGGCCACCGAGAGATGTAACGAAAATGCTGTTTTTGGAGAGGCTTACCTGGCTCTTCGCAAAAAGGATGGTCCGGGGGACGTTTCGTTTATTTCTTACACGACTCCTTGACATCCAGCAAAGGAATGCTGTTTCCAATATAGGGGGTGGCATGGTGAACTGCCATGGGTTTGAAGTGAAGTTCGCCAGCAGAAAAATATCACTATCCGATATTGCATCAGCTGTTGGAGACGACAGAGACTCAGCAGTGGTATACGTTTGCGGTGTTCCTACCATGACTGATGAAATGGTAGAAAAATTGGTCTCCAATGATGGGCTGGGCATGAAGCGCAACAGAATCTTGTTCGAGAAGTGGTGGTGATTTGCACTGCTTCAACTGGCCGTCGAGGAGTAGATTAAAATGGCGACGACTAAGGCTCTCAGGGAGAAAACTGAAGGATGTAAACGGAGACAACGTGACGGCATTTTTATCAAACGAAAACCTTCAGTCCAGGCTCGGGACCGAATCCCAACCTCCACTTTCAGGTGAATTGGGATTCGAGGTTGACGTATGCACCTTCCCACTCCCAAACCTTCACTCACCCCGCGCCTGGGATCAATCGTGAGTGGGGTTTTCTTATTCGACGAGCTCAGAAAGCAACCATTCAAGGGTCTCGAGACGTCCGACTTTCCTTCTAATTACGCTCTTAACAGCGCATCGAGGCCGATATCCTTGTGCGTGCGCCGGACAAGGCACCTTCACGCCAGTAAGACATGTCTGTCTAAAGTATATCTTTAACTCCGACCGCACTCGGCCTCTACGAAACCATCACCTGCTCTACAATCATTACCTTTCACGATGCCGTGCCTACGAGGAATTGAGATCTCTCTCGTGGCCGATCCATCCAACGAGCGTATCCCCGAGTTTCCGCATCCCGAGGGGTCATCTGCCCGCTTGATCAGTTGTCATGGCGGTTCAGCAAAGCAGGAATCCGTATCTACACGCAAAGCTGGCCCCACGGTTGCGACGTATATACCGTCCGTTCCAGGTACTAGATCTTCTTCCGACTGGCCATGTCCAGCGTGTTCACTGTCCGTACGTTTATAGGTCACTGCTTCGCGATTAAGTACAACATCAACGTTCTCCCTCCTCCACCCTGCAAATATGTCTTCTTCAAGTTATTCTTGAACGGCCGAGCGATCACCTCATGGGGCATCAACCCAACCGAGAGACAGCATGGCAACGTTGTCAAGTCACTGTGGGCACCAGGCCCAAGCTACAATGGACAAGCAGGTCTCGAGTGTCGCAATTTCGTATTCCTTCCGGGCCAAGAAACCAGATCCCCTGCTGAAGACGGTGGCCTGATTGAAGTGAAGGTTTTCCGAGCACAAGACAGAAAGGCTCGGGCACCGAAAGTGGAGGACTTTCACCCCCAGAAGAACTATGGCATCGCGTAGGTGACTGCAGCATAGGAATCCTATCATGTGGTGGAAGGCTGATCAATGTCATAGTTCCCCCAGTATCGGCCTTATGGACCAGCCTCAACACGCCTGCTTCTATCATTGGCATCTCATCGATGCTAGGGACTCGCCCTTTGCAACATTCAGATTCCACTACCGCTCGTGGGATAGCCTTGAGCAGCTGAACCTAATACCCCAGAGGGAGTTTAAGTTTGTACGATCCATCTCTACCAACGCACTAAGCCGCAGCACGACAATGGAGTTTACCGAAGACATGCTGCGCCAAGCGGACGATAGTCAAGCGACACTGGTCACGAACGATGATAATGGTGACGAAGAGTCAATCTTTGAAGGAAGCAAAATCCACGGTGACAGACGGAACCAACCCAACTACTCTCTGGGAAGCCCTCCGATCGTGTTCCCTCTGTCTTCGCTCTCCGACAACATCCCTCAGCCAAGCAAAGCACTCCGAGATGCTTATCGCGACTCGTATCTCCAGCGACCCTTACCAGAACTTCCACGCGAAGAGCCGGGCGTCGTGTCACGGCGTGCTTCCATATCTTCTGCCGTGTCGGGTTGTCCATCTCTGACCCCTTCTCTCAAGAAACTCGTCGACGATGGAGCTTTTGACGATGATGATGCTTTTGAGATTTGCGTAGCGCGGGCCGCTCCACAAAATGAACCCAACTTTTCCGGCACTCCGGACAAATCGGGCCCAAGATCGGAGACACTCGAGGACGTTTCCATGTCAGATTACGCGACACCGCCAGCCTCAACCAGTGAATACTACCCAAACATGGCTTCATCACCTGGCCGGTATCTACCAACAACCGGCAGCAGTTACGCTCTCGGCCTCGAGTGTTTCACCCTCACCCCTCAAAAGGAAGATGGCGCCCCAGCTTCTCACACAGAGTCGGGTCGAAAATTGTCAACGCAAGCTTTGCCTTCCTGCTACAGATCCGAGCAAGATCTGTCCCGGGTTACGAGAATCAAGTTGTCGGAAGCGGAGTGGATGAGCCGAACACCTTCGCCTGCTGAAAGGGAACCAGCGAATATCGCAAGACGTTTATGGAGCCCTTCTCCTAACACCTCGACACGCACTGGCCGGCTTGGGGGTGTTATGAAGAAGTCTTTGGAGGGTTCGGAGAGTCTGGAGAAGAAGGAAGTCCGTTCGGAAATTGTGGGCAACTGGATTTGAATCTGCCATTTTTACCATCCTTAGCTTGATTACGAAGCTATCTGGGCTTTGTTATTCATCATTTCAAGTCAAGGTTGGGAAAGGAGTTGTTGGTTGCGCATTACCTCTATCTATACCCACACTTGTTCTCTTTCCATCGGTACTTTTTCAGAGGCTCGGATTTCAGCCGCATAGCGTAGGAGTTGATTGGTATACAAGGTAATTATACTTAAGCAAGCGCAATGATTGTGGTAGTAGGCTGATGTTCCAGCAATTACTTCTTGTACTAAGATCTGATATCAGCAAAACCGCATTTGACATCGTTGCCTCGTTCTCCCAATCTCCCAGCAATTGTAACATCCAGGACTCCGTAGATTAAGAGGCGTCAAAAAATTGGTTCTGTTTTCCCTCCGGCTCGCTCGTGCGGTGCCGTGCTGTTGTAATAGTTCTAGTGCCGTATCCCTAGCAGTATGTGCATATCATCATCAACATTGCAGTGCCATGCCCTTATTTCGATCCCAACACCGCCCTGGAATCCTCCTCCTTACCCAGGATTCCCAAGTTCCGTATCTGTCCGGCGGTCGGTGGGTTGGCCTTGTATCCGCCTTCTGCTTCGGCTTTGCGATAGGCAGCTTGGAGGGCTTGGACTCTGGCGGCCTGTTGTGACGGGGGAAGATGATATCATAATTGTTAGTGATGAGGGACACTCTCACTTTTGGTGTATGTGGATCTTTAATCCCCTCCTCCGCGTGGAGCATCGTATGTATGGTTTCCTGGAGGTTTGGATGGTGATGATTCGGGGTTTGGATACTGTACGGACCTCCTTCTTGTGGTGCAAGCACTCGTAGTAATCCTCCAGCATCGGCGAGCACTTCTTTCTGCCCGACGCGTCCTCCTCGTTGCTGTTGACCACGTAGCAGGCGAGCACTTCTTGCCAAAAGGGAAAGCACCGGGATGGACCTGGTAGTTGTCAAGCAATGACAGGGCATTTCATTAGCATTCCAAGTTCACAATGTACAGCGGGCGATAATCGCATCGGTTTGGCGACAAAGCATAAAGTTCAATTGCACGCCGTTTCCAGCAACTGACTGTCCAGATTGATAGAATTGGGAATAGGTAATCAATAACATACCCCCGTTCATGCCATAGCCGGACGACATGGCGGGCTGTGTGTATGCGCTGCGCTGGGTGTCGGCTCGGCGGGTTGTAAATTGCGGGGGAGAACCTGAGTCGTGACTCGCGTTGAAAGTGGATGAGCTTCGGTCGTGATGCGGGTCTCTTCGCGGGTCTCCTCGACGACGGCGACAACGGCGACGTGAGGTTGAACTGCTCGGTGGAATGCGATCCACCACTGCAAGCTTCAGGTTAAGATGTGGCTGGTATCATCGGTTCACTGTGGGATTTTGAAAGTGGTGAGCCACACTTTGATGACATGAGTGTATGGAAAGCCACAGTTGTCCCCAGATTTCGCAGCTGAGACCACTGCAGAGGGGCAGGGGGCAGCTAAGTACAGTGTACTGTAGCTTGGTTGGCGGGAGCTCTTACTTACACAGTACGTACCTCTAAGGACCAGGGCTTTAGCTGAGCTTTTGGCGGCAGGCACTGGCGGGGCCCACTAAGAAGCTCCAGGGCCCCGGCCTGGGGTTGTCACTGCAAGTGGAGGCTAAGTGACGGGGGAGCTGTTGTTGCGCTGCAGGCAATGTGTTCATCAACAATGTTCCAGAATCCACACATTTCCTCTTCACACTCATCCCACTCTCTGTACCGCGACACATGAGTACCTTTATTGACCAAGACCTAGTTCTAACAAGGGAAAACCAGTTTAATATACCACTACAATAGTTTTTCCAGGGGCACGACTAGCCATGAAGTCTGAAGGCATCCCGACGCCCAATCGACTATAAGCATCGCATCCCTCCAAACGAAGACTCCGCGACAATGGCCCTCTTCCTCTCTCCCCCTAAGCTTGTGCTGCTCGCTGTGCACCTTGCTGTCAAGGCCGACATTGATAGCTTGACCTCCCTCGCCGCTCACCGTGGCTCCGTTCTTCGCAAAGAACTACTTCTACGCATCCTGCTCACATACCTTCCCGAGACTTTGCGATCGAGCGACTACGTCACCCTAATCGAACATATCGAACGTGGAGACTTTCCAGAATCGCAACTTGATTCCACCGAAAACGAGCAGAAGCATGAAATCGACGTTTCTTCGGTCGAGTCCCTTACCGAAGAGGAAGCTATCAAGAAGGTCAAGAAGCTCCGGCTGCTACCCCTGTCCTCCCCCGAGGCTCCATCCACGGCAGAGGTCGCCGCCGACGATACAACATCTCTGTTCCTTTTGCGCAGGTCCTACAAGGTGGATGAAGAGGCTGGATTACTCACTGAGCTACCCGCTCTGTTGGCGCCATTCTTGGATCATTCTCCCGCAATCAGGTCGCTTTTGCTCTCGACGATACTGCCGCTTCTGCGGCGCAACTGCGAATATTACCCTAACGAACCGATTCCGTACACGCTGGCCGCATTCCAGAGGTTGCCTGAAAGGACGATAGCAAACGTGTTGTTGTCGCAGACAGGCGCTCGGGAGGAGGATTATGGACAAATTGGTCGCGACCTGAAGGGCATGATCGCGCCTTGGACGCTGAATAGGAAGCGGTGGAATAACAAGGGTCAGGAATCTGGTTCGGCTGAGGGATTGACGCCTAGAGGTCCCGACACGGATGAGGATCTTTGTCCAGGATGGAATCAGGTGTTGCGTTGGCTCACTGCGAATGCCTCGAAAAACTGGAGGGTGGCGGCCAATGCATTCGACCAGTGGGAGGGCCCCCAATCCGTGGATTTGGGGGGGATTCTAGGAGGAGGAGAGGAAACCCAATTGAACGACGAACAACGACGCCATCTCGACTGGACGTACGCCCAAGCTGCTCTGGCATCTACATATCTGATCTCGAATGCATCAATTGAAGCATTGGAAGGGGCTTATGCGATTCTTAACAGGGCTGTCATCATCACCAACCAGGACCCTCTTCCACCACTGCAGAATGCGGTGGGCTTGTTAGCGCCACTTGCCGAGCAGGTTGATGGCATAGTGGCCTCGCCAAAGAACGTGACCTACTTGCGCAATGACTTCTTGGACTCATCAAACGTTCTTACGTGGCCAACGGAGACGTCAACTGCTTTTTGCCAAGCCCTAATAATAAGTGCCTTCATCCTCACCAGAGCTGGGTCTCCATGCACCCTTAGGAGGGTGGGTGAGCTCGCACTGTTGCAGGATGAGCGGGAGCAAAAAGCGGAAGCCCTCAAGCTCATTCATGCTTTGGCTAACCAGGGACCAAAGACGGACGACAAGTTCTGGATGAAAGCCCGCGATGAGATACTGTGGCTTCGTGATTGGGGTGCTGAAGATGCCTGGGGTGCCACCGACTCGAGGCCTAAGGGCATCTTCAGCCAGCTTAAGAAGGAGTTTTTGGAGGTTGAGTTCCTCAAGGCTTTACTCACCAACACTCGTTACGCTCTGGCAAAGTCGATTTATGAAGATTCGGTAGAACGGCCATTGGACGAAAAGGTGCTGAAAGACGCTGTTTTCTCTACGGCCATGACTGCTTACGATAACGCCTCCAATCCCAACCGCACAAGGGGTGGGCTGAAGAAGTGTGATGACATGTGAGTTTCCTAGCGTCCATGACGTTGTACAAATCACACTAACTCCAGGAACAGCATCAAAGCATTCCCCAACACAATCTCAAAGTCCGATCCCGTTGCCCAAAAGATCGAGGCTCTTCTCCAAGCCACACATGCCCTCAGTGAATTCCGCCTAGTACTCAAACAAGGTGAACCCTTCACACCGGTTGTTCTACGAGTTCACGCCGATCCCATCTCTATCATCGACAGAATCCTCGAACAGAACCCCAAGAGCTACATCCGACTTCATGACCTTCTCGACCTTGGAGCCCGCATGGTCAAAGCCGGACTAATAGCCACCACCAAAACTCCAGCATCAAAACAGCAACACAGCAGCTACACGGCCGCAACCATCTCTCCCGAGGAGGAAGAAAAGCAACGGCTAACAGCCGAGCGCCGTATAACCGCCATGTGCATCGACGCCGCCTTGACCGAAGACGACTTTGAGACGGCGTACTCCTACATCCTCAATCGGCTCTCCTCCCCACCATCCTCCAGGAACAGATCCTCTACCCCCTCAACAGTCGTCATCGAAGACGACTACTCCTGGAAAGCCGCCCTCCAAGCAGGCAAGTACCGACGCACCAGCCGCACCGTCCGACCCACCCACCTCGGCACCAACGCCTCCGCCAACCCGGAGATCCGCCATCTCGAGCAGCGCATCGAATGTCTCTCCACAGCCTTACGCATCGCCCCCACACCCACACTCCAAGAGATCCTCAACGCATTCCGAAGAGCAGAAGAGGAACTTGATTCCGCGCTCAAAGCCGAAGAAGAAGCTGAAGACGCGTGGGATGCGGCAGGGGACTCGATGCATGGTCATCATGGTGGTGGGCAACGGGTACCAGGGGCATTTGGTACACCACCTGGTGGTGGTGGTACTAGGCAACATATCTCCGCTACAGGTATTGGGAGTGGTGGATCAAGCGCCGCCGCGGCTGCTGCTCGCTCAGCCAAATCATCATCAGACTCGCGTCATCAGCAGCTGAAGCATAAACAAACAGAAGAAGCGCCCATGTCCCTTTTCGACCTCTCCCGCGCCTCGGTCCTCTCCGCGCAAAAGAACCTCTCAGCTCTGTCCTCTCTGCAGCGCGTCGCCGGCGGGCTCGGTGGTCATCTGGGCGGTGTAGCTGGTGGACTAAGCGGTAGTGTAGGCGGTCTAGTTGGTGGGTTCACCTCTTCCTCCTCCAATACTACAACAAATGCTGCTGGTAGGAATAGTCTTAGCAGTGACCGTGATCGAGACATGATGAGGCCGGGTAGTAGAGGTAGTACGTCTACCGCCGGTGGGATGACCAATAGCTTTTACAGCGACGGAACTGGTGGAGGGGAGGAAGGTAATGGAGGTGGTGGTCAACAGGGGAGAGTAAGAAAGAGAGATCAACTAAGAGAGGCGGCCATGGGCACGTTGGTGTCGGGCGTGGGGTGGTTGGTGGGTGCGCCGGCGCCGGCGCCGACACATTCACAAGCACAGGGGGGCAATGGGAATAATGGACATAGGAGAGAAGAATAGGAGCAGGTGTGGTAGTCTTATTTTTTTCTCTTAAGGGTTTCTGGATAGGGGAGGGATTGCATACTTGTTTTAGCGTTTGAGTACTGCACAAAAGAAGGTCATGATAAAGTGGAATATTTTCAACTTGTTGTCTCATCTAGTCGTCGTGCTTTGGGGTGGTTTGTGAAAGGTCCTGGGCTGCAGGAGGGGTTGGGTGGGGTGACTAAGGTGAGGTGAGGTGAGGTGATGGCGGATAGCGGATAGAAATCAATTATATAATCTCCAACTAGGTCAGTTTGTAAAGAAGAAGAAACCGTAACTTTGAGAGTACTACTGGATGGGGTCATTATCACTGACTGATATTGACAGTAGAGGTTTGGCTAAGTTCCATCTTATATCCCTTTCTTTGTTGTCTATTCAAATAAGTTGTAGACTTAGACAACCTAATATAACTTTTACTCATCTGCGAATTACCTACACTTGTTCATTGGCACCCCATCCATGGCTTGCCAAAGAGGTGCTTCTAGCCCTAACGGCTACCATCTTTGCGGCTTGAATTTCAGTTTAATCTTTATATAATATCTTTTTACTGTCTCTTGAAGTAGGCGTAAGACTACCGAAGTCACTTCCACTAAGCAATGCACATACTTCATCCTTCAATCTATGAGATTGATTCATTTATTGCTTGATTATTCCTCTCTAGTCTGAACATGTGATACCAAATCCTCCGTTCGTTATCCCTTTTAAACAAGCCATTGTTGCCCAGAAAAGACACTTCATAGAACTCTATGCAACCGTGAAAATCAAGCTACTGATTTGATGACAGTAGTAAAAGTTGTACATGAAAAACAAGTGCAATGCGAGCCGTATTATTGTTGTTGTCATATGTAGGTAGTGGCTAAGCCGAGAAGGTAGGTATCGCTCCTCATTCCTTGTGGAAGTCTTGTTTCGCTAAGTCAGGAGCAGTCGGAACACCCTGTCCTGGATGCTTCTGCCGTTGTCTTTCCAGGCATCGTGTTCCATGATCACGCATGTCCGACTGGTACGCGAAGGGCTTTTTGCAGTGTAAACACAGAACCACGCGATACTTGGTAGCGTTGTTATGGGCGAAATCCAGATGTGCGCAGGACAGATGTCGCTTGAAAGCGAGTATGGATAGCCAATGCGTAGACAGACCGGACAATCCAACTTGCCATTCAGACGGGTCGGCCTGGGTCCGTCATCATTGTTTCGGCCGTGTAGGGAGGTATCAAAAGTTTGATCGGCAGTATCTTTATGGGTGATCTCCCGAGTATGACTCTACTCTGATTCTGAATCACCGTCCATGCCTAACAATGTCTTGTCAAGATCGTCCAGGTCTTCCTGGTCCTCGGCGTCCCGTTCACCATCATCGTTACCATCGGCGTCATCCTCGACGTCATCACCTTCGCCTTCACCGTCGCCTAGGCCAAGTAGCGCCTTGTCATCGTCATCCAAATCATCGACATCGTCCATGGGGGTATCGGCATCATGGGAATCAGCGGTATCCTGTCTCTGGATGCCGTTTGTCTTGCCGGTGCGAAGAATTACCGGCTTGTTGGCGGGAACGTAAGCACGGCGATGGGCATTACGCTCCATGATTTCGGCCTCGTCCTCAGTTTCCGCCGGATCGATGTCGTGCTTGGACGGCGAACCCTCCCCGTCATCTTCATCACCGTGGCCTTCACCATCGCCGTTGGCATCTCCATTAGTGAGCTTTGGCCGCTTGATCGGCCTGATAACGCCGAGGTCCGGATCATTGGACTCCTCCCACCGGCTGAGTCGGCGCTGGGCGCGTCTTAAGGAGGCCGAGTACGAGGCGAACTCCTCTCCAAAGTCATCTTCTTCGTCTTTGAGCTGGCAGAGACCAACGTAGCCTTTCTCGCGGAAGGGGTAATTCTCTCCGAATCCGGTGTAGTTCACGGCTCCTGCAAGGAGAGCCTGCTTGTTATAGTTAACGGTCTCCTCATCCTCGCTATCGCTGAAATCAGCCCATTCCTTGGCTTTGTCGAGCCTGTTGACCACACGGATAATGGAGCCATCGACACGACGCTGCTTTCGGCTGCGATGGTGGCTTCGCGTGAGTCCTCTGTCGAGAATCCACTCAACGCGTTGGGACCTATTGCGTTCGACGGCAAGCTGATGAGCGGTCGGTGGACGAGGTTTCCTGTGCACAACACCTTCGAGCATCTGCCCACCGGCGGGCGATGAGCCTTCGAAGATCTGATATTTTAGGGAGTTGCCACCCCTACGGTTAGTAGTCTGTGGAAAAGCGGCAGGATGCCTACCGACCAGAGCCCTAGGCGGCGGAGTGGATCTGATGCTGTCCAGGTCGCTATCAACCTTGGAAGGCCTGATTCGGGGAAGGATGCCAGTTGTGGGACCGATCTCATCACCAGCAGGGAAGCCACGGCCTCTGCCACCCTTTCTAGTTTGGCTCTCGACCATGAACTGCTGATCTGCCTCAATGATCTTGGCTCGCATCTTTTGCTTGTCCAAGCCGAACTTGATTTCCTCGTCGGGATCCTTATTCTCAGCTTCCTCTTCTTCTTTCGTCATCTCTATCAAGCGCGGTACGCCCTGGTTTGCAACGTCAAGACCGTAGTCGACACCTGCCCCGAAGGGATTCTCATCGCAGCCCTCCTCAGTAAAGTCAGATTCAAGGTAGAACCACATGAGCCATAGAAAGGCACGAGCGCGGCTGGTGCTGGAATAGTTGGTCTTCATGATCAAATCATGGAACTCTCGACCAGGCGGGAAATGCAGCTCGGCGATCTTGCTAGCCTGTTGGCAGATGACGAACAAGAGGTTGACGGGATTCGTCCTGGGTACGTGGGTGGCACGCGCCTTGATGGCGTCAATGGAGTTGGGCTCATCCCTGTCTTCGGCGCCTCCTTTCAAAATAGATTTGAGGCGGGGTGCGTCCTGCAGTTGCTTGTACGCATGGGGGTCTTGCTGGGCCTGGAGCGAAGGGATGGCGTGGTATGTACGGAGTTGTGCACGCATTTCGGGAAAGACTGCGGGGGAGATTGTTAGCAACAAAGAAGAGCAAGGTGGATGACCCTCGAGAAAACTTACAGTTGAGTGTCGTGTTCATACGACCAATGTTGACGAGGAGACACACCATAGCCATTCCTTTCGCGGCATCACGATCACTAAGCAGCTTGTCGCGAAGGACTTTTGATGTCTTGCTACTCCTCGACATTGTGTCGATGTAGAGATCGGCAAAGCACTGCTTGCCAATCTTGTCAGGTTCGTAGCTGTTGGTGAAAACCTTTTGCTCGTTGTCGAACACGGCCTTGAGGAAGTCGTACTGGATGTCCTTTCGCCAGAGCGGCTCTCCGTCCTCCTTTTTCAGATGCCGGATCTTCCCAATGACGTTGGTCCCTGATCCATCATCGCGGCCACGGCCTCTTTTCCCACGAGGCAGCCTAGACTCGCTTGGCTCGGGGGTGGCAGCCATGGTAGCGTCGTTGTCCTCGGTTACGCTGGCGGCAGTGTGCGAAGACTTCCCAGGTTGGTGGGCGGGGGAACTGGGAGTGTCGACATCTGACAGTGCAGGAGAGGCAGCACGAGAGCTGGGTGAGGCGGCCATGGCTTTTGTCTAGCTGGGAGAGCGCGGGTGGCTCGCGGGTCGCAGGTTGCTGTAATGGAAATCGGGTTGCCCGTCGGAGCTATTCGGTCTGACCCTGCTGACGAATGCTTGAGGTACGGCGGGTATGACGAAGGGGCAAGACAGCAAGCGCCCGGGGGAAGTCGCAGGACACGCAGTGGAAGTTTTGGTTGGCGATGAACCGTTTGTAGTTCCCTTGTGATGGGGCTGCAGAGTCCGACCGCAGATTCTGGGCGCGCGCGCAGGGAAATCGCAGGGAAACCGCAGGAAACGACAGCAACCAGTTGGCGTTGATGCGCGATATGGAAGGAGGGGATGAAGGAATCTCGCGATTATTTGTCTAGAGTACTGATTCGACTATGCTGATGATGATGCCTTTTGCCGATGGCGCAGAAATGGCCGAAGCGTGCGTTGATTCACAGAGGCACGTGGTGAGGGAGATGGTGATGCAAACAAATCATGACTTGGTGGGCAGACGAAGAAATTGCGAGGGAGGAGTGCAGTGGTGGTGGGAGTGGTGGCGGGAGGAGGAGACGGAAAGGGATGAAGGGATTGGCATAGCTGAGTAGGCACAAGCAGCAAGGAGTTGGCGAGAACGAGGAACACGGAGAAAGAAAATACATTTCAACCGACATGATGCTAGCAGCTTCCCTTTCCAGGTTTGTGCCGCCGTGGTGACCGTGACCTGACAACGGGATACCTGACGGGATGGAATAAAGGTAAATGTACCTGGGCCGACCATCCTGCTTTTCCATCTGTTTTCCAATCTCCAGCATCAAGTCATCGAGACTTCGTTGGTTGTTGAGGGCGTGTGCCCCTAATTCTCGCAATTTGGGACCATCATCGTCAAATTGTGTGGGCGGTCGAAAGCCCCGTGTGGTGCATCGTCGCGTCCTGTTTTGGCCGGCAAAAATTGGGTGTTGCCGAGTGTCGCAGGTGTCGATGCCTGCTTCTGGCGATCGAGCCGTGTGTGTGCAGTGGGTGAGCGTTCGCCCGTCGCCCGCCCGTCGCTCATCGCGGTCAGTGACGTTTCGACCCCGGACCCTTGGCCTTCCACATCAAAGGGTGACCACTAAACGCGGTTATCTGTCGCGACGCCAAGGTGCTGCGATCCACCTTTAAGATGGTCTGAGCTCTTTTCCAAAGACTAGGTGTTTAGGCATCGGCATCATGGGCACATGTCGTGATGCCGCACTTGCACGTCCTTCGGAGCCACATGTCCGGTCCATGTATACCTATTCGACGTACTACCTCGAAACATGATCGGATGTCTCTTGCGAAACCGAGTTTTACAGAAATAGGTCATTTCCTTTCCAAGTCCATCTTCATCCACCATCGTCAGTTGGTGTGTCCTTTCTTATCAGCAAAGATGACCTGAAAGCCCGGAGGAGGGGCATGCCTAACTGGGGCTGGATTAGGTACAGTAGCTGTAGCTGTAGAGGTAGCACCACCGTTTGTGTATCCAAGAGGAGGGGTTCCTACGACAAAACAAGCACAATAGACTTTTCTTCTTCTCAACACTCACTCTCCTCAAAACATCCACATTCCCAGAACTGCCAAATCCCGTCCTGATCATGACCGGCGTTGCAAAGATTCCCGTCATCGACATCTCCAATGACAACCAAGACCAGGCCCGAGTGGCCAAGGAGCTGGTCGAGGCCGCTATCGAGCATGGCTTCATCTATATAAAGAACACGGGCAAAGATATTCCCGTCGAGGACGTCGACGCTGCGTTCGAATTGGTATCCCTATCACTATCCACTTCATTTGTTTGCGAGAAAAAAAAGCACTAATGATGAAATAAATCCAACCAGGCCAGGAAGCTGTTCAAGGAGACGCCCGTGGAGGAGAAGCAAGCATGCACCATCCAAAAGAACAATCGAGGTGTAAGTTGAAAGCATTGACCTTGACCACATGACCAACCATCTATTCTAACCATACAACATGATATCCAGTGGTCAGCTATGCACTATGAGACCCTCGATCCCAAAAACCAGCGTGTAAGTCACCTCACTCGTGATTACTTCCTCACACACTGACCACCCTCTTCTGATTCAGGTCGGTGATTTCAAGGAGTAAGTGAACCAGCCCATCCAACAATACATGCCCCTCATCCATCGATCGATCGATCCATCCACCACTCCCCCTTTTCCAACAGCTGACAAAAATCCCCTCTTCTCCAGGGCCTTCAACTTCGGCGAACCCTCCCAACAAGGTCACCTCCAACAACCCATCCCCCCCACCATCCGCTCCGCAGAACCTTTCATCTCCCGCTTCCACACCCTCTGCCACCACCTCTCTCTCCGCCTCAACACCCTTTTGGGCCAGGGCCTCTTCGTCTCCCCTCCCGATTTCTTCACCTCTGCTCACCTGCGCGAGAACGGGGCATCTGGCACCATCCTGCGATTACTCTATTACCCTGCCCCGTCCTCCATAGCTGCAGAAGAAAAAGGAGATGGGGACGTTCGAGCGGGGGCTCATTCCGATTACGGAAGTATGACGCTGTTGTTCAGGTTGAAAGGCCAAGCAGGCCTCGAGATCCAGACGCGCGAGGGAAACTGGGTGCCTGTCCCCGTTTGTCCCCCAGGCACAGAAACGGATCCGGCTCCGCCGATTCTGGTGAATATTGGCGATTTGTTGAGTTATTGGACCAATGGGTTGTTGAGGAGCACGGTTCATCGGGTTGTTTTCCCGAGTGCAGCAGGGAGTACGGTGGAGGGAGAGACGGGAGGGGAAGAGAGGTATAGTATTGCTTATTTCTGTCATCCGGTGGGGACCATGAAGTTGGAGCCGGTGCCTAGTGAGAGGGTGAGAGCGTTTGGCGAGGAGCAGAATGGGAAGGGGGTGATTAATGGGGAGAGGAAGATGTTGACTGCTGATGAGCATTTGAATATGAGGTATGTTTTCTTTTTCTTTTTCTTTCTCACTTTCTGTTTTGGTTAGGATCATGTGTGTCACTTGCTAACAGGTTTTGATGTGCGATTTATAGATTGCAGGCGAGTTATTTGAAGTTGTATGAGGATGAGAAGAAGGACTGATGGGTTGAGTTGGCTAAATAAATGGGGCCAGGACACCTCTTAATGACCAGAAACTACCAAGTATGATGCCACAGAGGTCCATCCCAGAAAAGTAATGCAGATATCAAACTCCTCACCAGATATCAATACGACCTTCACCTTCTCCCAGAAATGATATAATCTACCTGTTCCTATTCATACCCAACTAACACAAGAAAATACAACTCTCTCCTCCGGGTATCTCCCAATGCAACACCTTTCCCCTCCCACACACAGAAAAGAAATCAAGTCAACCCAACCCAGTACTTTCTCCAAATACTCCCACTCCTCCTGATATCGAATCTAACCCTATCCCACTCGCCACTCTCCCTACACTTCTCTTCCTCCTCCTTCAACTCCTCCAAAACCCTCCAATCATACACCGAGACATGTCTCGGCTCGCCGTTTCGATGTCTTAAGCCTGCATTCCTAACGCTCTGGAGAAACACCTTGTTGGCCTCCTTTCTTCTGCGGTCCACGAGTATGATCTTTTTCTTCCGCTTGGTCCCACCAGGGGTACATGAGGGGGTGGGTGTCGGTGCTGAGCTGTTGAGGACCATGGCTTCCGTGGCGGTTGTTGCCGTTATTGTGGGCATTATGGTGGGCGTGCCCGTGGGGGCAATGGATTGCTCCGCTGCCCACTCCTTGGGATCGCGTGCAAACTTGGTAATCCCGTGGTAACCGAGCAAGTCCTCTGTCACCCAGAGGTAGTCGGCGATGCAGGGGGAGAGCATGAAGGAGATATTGGCAATTGTGCATGCATCGCCGAGGTAGCGGCACTTGTTTTCTGTCAGTGATTCGATTGCGGTGGGGGGAGAGCTAACGTGAGGCCTGGCTGTAGGTTGGGGTACAGTGAACGTAAAGTCACAAGAGGTAATGCCCAATGACATCGAGTGAGGAAGAGAAACCCGTCCCCGGGTATTCGTACTCCGGCGGTGCTCTATGTCTAGGGTAGTGGGCTGGTACATGGAGTTCGCGCCTATGAGTCTAGGAGGAGCGGCCAAGCGAGGATTGGGATTGCGTCGTGGCGAGGTAGTCTCGATGGCCATGAGAGGCTCTCGCTGAACAACTGATGAGGATATGGTCTCCCTTCGGGATGTGGAAACGTCATTCTGGCCTTCTGGGTTGTTGTGTTTTCTGATCTTGCTAATGTCACATTCTAGGTCGGTGGATGAACTATGAGGTCGCTTTTCCCCTCTAGCCATCGTTGAAAGTTCGTTAGTTGACCTCTGCGGAGATTCAACCACTGTGGGCAGAAGACGAGGTCGATCTTTGGTCTTTATCGGTGATCTGATAGCGATGGCCACCGAAGCTGACGATGTGAACGAGTCCCTGCCAACTGAGCGACATTTGAGGGAGGAGGATAGAGACGAAGGTGGTAGAGCGTCTGGGCATGACGACTTGTTAGGTGTCGACGGGGCTTGGCTTGTTGAGGCGGTGGTTTGGGTCTGGATCTCGACGCCTCTTGTTTTGGGATCAGCCTGTTCCAGACGTCCGATCCACTCCAACAGCTCCTGGCTTTCTTCACCTAGGGGCTTTTGTGTCCCATGAATTGCCATTTCTTGTAACTCTGAAAAAGACAGAACGTCAAGATAAGTTCTGTCACAGTGTATCTTGTTTACCATCGGGAACCTCGGGGTCCAGAATCCAGTATTGCCGGGTCTGTCGAAAGAGAAACACCTTATGTCGAACACTGGGGGTACTTTGAAGAGTGTTGTTGGTGCCTTTTTGCCGTCGACCCCGTCCTCGATCCTCAACGAAAATGCAGTATCGTCTTTCGGATCCACGGCGACTGGTTGAATGGCCGTCATAAAAGCACGCATTTGCGTTTCGTTCAGTTGCACCACGTTTGTAACAACGAAATTGGGCACTGCTCCGAAGCGCACCACCTCTTCCTTATTGCCCAGACACGCAATGTAAAAGTGTGTCCACTTGATGTTTGGAAAGCCGAAGGACTTTGCTTTGGTCGGGTCGTAACGAGCACCGACCACAGCAAAATCACCCACATCCCCAAACTGTCGAATATACTCCTTCTTGAGTTTAATTGCTATGCTGCCAGAGTACCCCACCGACGTACCAAAGTTGAAGTATGTAGCGTCGGGTTTGAGTACCAGGCCTTCTCCACGGTTGGTGATGCACGTCGCAAACGCACGCCGTAGATCTGATTCCGCGGATGGTCGGCTGCAGTCGATGATCTGCCGCTGGACCAACATCGAGCGTCCTTTGACCTCTGTCACTATTTCTTGGAGACGCTGCATTCTCTCCGAGTGTTTAACAGCCAAGAGCGACTCGTCATCAACAAGGAGAATGTCATAGTAAACGATCATCAGATGTTCCCAAGGGTTTCGTCTAGGTCAAGTCAGCAATGATCATCTAAAAAAGTATGTGCAGTTGGGTTCTCACTGTGAGTCCTGTTCCGTGCTAAGGAACGCACCAGACCTGGATACATGCTTTCGGATTTTGTAGAAGTCCAATATTTTTTCTTCCTGGAGCGAGTGGATTAGTGACTTGAACACGTTTTGCCCAAGTATTTTGAACAAACCTTGTCGCTATATACCAGTAGCTCTCCCTCCAAGATGCATCCCTTTTTGAAAGGACATGATGGCTGGTGTAGATTGAGTGATTTTCGGATGGCACTAGTCTATATCAGCGGTGTCCGTTCAACGTGCTAAAGAGGTACCCACTCATGTAGAGCTTTCCGGTCTTGTGTGCTATCCTTTCCACTCTTGGAGAATATTTGTATACAGTCGTAGCCCTTACTGAGGTCGATATGAACCTGGCAATACTCGCCGTCGTACTTCACCTCGCAGCTCATCCTACCGTAGTCCATCTGCAAGCAATGCTTGATGCTTCTTGCCTGGAACCATGGTTGACGGCCAACTTTGACACCCAATCTGGGTTTCAGGTGTTTGGCAAATTCGTCCCTCCCAGTAACCGTTCGTTCCTGTCTGTGGCTCGCCAGTATGCGGCCAGCATCCACAAAGTCATCCCGCACTTTGACTATCAAGGGCAACCGAGGATGGTAATTGCGATATACGAGTTGCGGGCCGAGAATGACGGGCCGGTAGTTCTTCAAGAATAGTCGCGTGAACCACTTGGCATCTCGAGGGGAGAATCTCGTATAGATATCTCCAAGTGCCTTCTCTCGGCTTACAGAGGTTGAACTGGGAGGTGAGCTGCGCACTGCAGGGGAGCTAAAGTGACAGTGCGAAGCGATGTCGTGAAGAAGGTTGTCGATCTCCTCAACGGTAACTGGTCTGATGGGATCAGGATTGGGCTATATCAACGTCAGTTCCATGTTTCCCAGATAAGGTCGTCATGATCCTGCCGTTGTACAGATTTGCAACCAGCGAATCTGGCATGTAGATTCGCAACACTTACCGTGTCCCTCAGAATACGTTCAACACATTCGGCGAGATCCATGCCCCATTGAGCGTCTGCATGTCTCCCAAGTTCTTCCCTTCGGGTCATTCCCAGTACCAGTCCCCTTCCGATGATGCGTTCCAACCTTCCCGGGCCATACCTGAAGACCCTGTCGGTTCTTTTTTCGGGAAACAGAGTGGAAAGGAGTGCTGTATCGTTGTGGTCGTCGCGGTTGATAAGTGAGCGGTGTTTGGCGAACCAGTCCTCGATGATTTTGGCAGTAGTCTTCAGGCCAGACTTTGTGCGTTGGTTGTCGTCTAACGCCTGCAGGAGGTCGCACACGTACGAGAAAAGGAAGGGCATCGTAGGTGGTAAGCTGCTTCACAGAGAAAGCGTGTCAAAGAAGTGAGAGCATGCAACGTCGGCAGAGGGCATTGGCGACATGCAAAGACGATCCGAAAAGGAGGTCACCGCGAACTGTTTAGAAAAAGTTTTGGAGAAGTGTTCGCTGGTCAAGTCCGCAACGAAGGACGGTGGTGAAGATAATATGACATTTATATATGGTAATTCGCAGTTGGTGTGACACTGGATGGAAGGAAAGAGAAAGGTCGGTCGATGTGTCTATGTGAAGAATGTTCAGGTTCTAGGCTTCAATGGCAACCGCTTGGGTTGCAATTGGCCTTGTGTTCCGTCAGCACAGTCACTGCCCCGCGATGACCTCCATCCAGGAAGGAGAAGTGCAGTGTGGAGGGACAGAATCAAATACATGAGCGACCGCGTTCAAGGGTTGCAACCAGGAGTGGGTCCATGGCGCGTAAACACGTGTGTGATGAATGAATATTGTGCAACCTTGAATAATGAAAGTACTTGCGTGTAATGCCCACTTGGACAAAAGTGTCTCTTGTCGGTATTTGTCTTTTCTTTATACGCCCATTTTTCTCTTTGTCCTTGACTTTCGTGATCATCAATGGATTTATTTCATGCTCTGATCCGGACTCACCACATCACCTCCCGCAAAAAGGTCGCGCACCTCCGAAAAGCGGCCGGCCAGTTGAACTGCTATGCGCTCCTCCGAAGCGGGGGCTGTCCTGGCATCATGTATTGCAAAGGTAGCGAGGAAGCCGTCAAGGGGTGGGTGTCCACCGTCCAAGTCAGTCCTTTACCTAGTTTGTTGCGTTTGAGTATCCGGATGTAGGAGGGCAGTAATCCTGATGATAATGATGCGAAATCGTAACCAGAGACTGAGATACAAAGACTTCCATCTGGCTTCGAAGCCTGCTCTAATAGAAACCAAGTCGGCCCAGTTTAGTGATCCAGCGGGGCTGTTCGAGGTGGAAACAGTGAAGGAGTTCGCTGCTGCCATGGAGAAGAGGGGGCTTTCCCAATGGTGGGAGCAAGCCATGGGCTTCTCGTGAAGTGTACACAACGAAGGGAATGCCCGAGTAGGATGTGAGGAGAAAGTCTCGAAAGTGGGCTGAAGACCCAGACAACGACGGCAACCTAAGGAACGGCATGGCGATAAGGCTGGATGAAACGTACACTAGTGTACATACAGGCATCGGAGCCATGCAGTTGACGGATGCAGGGCTGAAGAGAAACAAGCGAAAGTGAGGTGCCAATGTCACGTCAAGTGGAAAATGCCGGGCAACATCATGCTGCCGTGGTTGATTGATCAATGAGTAGGTAGTGTACGCTGATACGGTTAAATTGCTTTGTTCGCGGCAGGCAGGCAGGCAGGGGCCCCGGACGGCAGCTACAATCCAGATTGCCCGCTGCGCTTTCTCTCCTGTGAGGTCATAACACCCATGGGATCCAAACAGCAAAGACGGGAGGAAGTATCGATGTGTGGCACTCTGTCTTTTGCTGCAGTAGCTGAGGTGTACACCGTGGCTCAACCGCAAACTCCGTTACAGTACTGTCAACTTCAGTTTGAATCTCGACTTGCGCAGGACAAGAATCCGACCAAAAGCGGGTAATCGTCGAATACCTCGTGATACCATACCTGTTCCGTCTCTAACCAGCAGACCCCGTACCACCTCTGATCCCGTCACTTTCCGGGCTCTCAAATCGCTGTGAGCCGCCTTCTCGAACAAATCCTGGAAAACATAACAAAGCGCATCACCAAGTACTACTCTGATTTCCCTCGCAGCGCAGGTGTGAGACTTCCAAGCTGGCTCAATTAAGGTGCGTTGGCGCAGATGACAATCCCATCCCCCAGGGAAAAAGAGGTATTCTTGCCGAGCATGTGCGTGTTCCAGGCCTAAGAACCCCCCCGGCCAGCCCACAGCGCCCTTTGCGCCGCTACCGCTACAAGTTCAGACGAGCGCCCCACAGCTAAAACATCCACAAATCGCAACTTTACAGAGATCTCGCCGGTCGTTCGTCTCCAAGTCAAAATTTGTCTCCCAGTCCGACAACCCCGACTGCCGCAGCCGTAACAGGTACGGGGGACGCCAAGAGGGCAAAATCGACATTTGATGTCCGTTTGTCGAAACGACAGAATGCGCAAGCACCGAAAAAGTACGACCCATCCCACCGACCGACGTCTCTCCGATCAACCCTCCTCCAGTGACGCGCAGGCCGGCTGACCAGCTTGGGAACTGTAGACAGCCTCGAGACGACTTTCACACCACCCAACATTCATTCCCCGATTATGGGTATGGGTCCGAGCCTTTCCTGTCTTGGTAATTAGGCGCTGATTGTTAGGGGGGGAAAAGATCCAAGGAGTCCCTAGATGGAGCAGTCAAAATGGCGAACTTTTACAACAAAGTGGTAAGAGGCGACCTCGGTTTTTGCGAGGCGGCTTTCTCTAACTGTCTCACCAAATAGAAAAGTCTGGTCAGCCCTTGGAAAGCTATCGATACCCTCGACTCACAACCGCGAGCTACAGGCCCGCCTCTCAAGAAACAAAAGACTGGGTCCGAAGATGGCCGCTCAGTTACGGCTGCAAACGAATACTCGAAGAGCCATTTCGCCTTTTTCCCGGAATCTATCGAAGATGCTGGATCAGATCATGCTACACGGACGGACCGTACGGGAAGTCATGGTAGCCTGACGGGTGTTATCGAATTTCAAAATGTCCAGGGTCTGGGATTGAGGGACGGCAAACCCCGTTCTGACAGGCGTCGTCGCTCCCGCGCGGGAAGCCAATCCCCTCGGTCAGCTCAAAGATACGGGCGAAGTATTGAGCCCGGAAGAGACGACATTGACAATTCGGACCGGGACGAACTTGCGGAGAAGAGCCCGTATGTCTCGAGCGGCCCTATTCTCCGACTAGTCAACTCAGCAACGAACATCGTGGATGCAGCTGATGCTGCAATTCTAGGCAGCCCTCGGAAACGATCAATAGAGCTCCTGAGACCAGTCAAGCGTCCGCTACATCATGTTGATGGCGAAGAGGATGAGCTGGCCCTTGAATCGCCCACCAATCCCCGCGCCCTTAGGCGAGCCGCTTCAAGCTCGACCAACAAGGGGAGCACTCAAGCGACAAAACGAAACAACTCTCATGACCCTGTTCCAAAAGCGCAGTTTCACCGCCTATACAGTGCCCTCTGTCTGCCAAATCACAGATATATACAGAAAGGACCCCAGGGATGGTGCTTTCTTGGCGAGTTTACCAATGGCGCCAAGCAGTTACAGCTATGTGCTTGTTCGGGAGAAGGGGATTTATTGCCTGAGTTGGACTGGCTCAAAATCACCAAGAGTGTTAACACAATCCATCACAATGCCGAGTCCTCTTATGTCAAGATTCGCCAGTCAAAGACAGGCAACGTGGGGGGTCAAATGGTGCTCCAATTCTTTAACACAAAGGAAGCCCAAAACTTCGTGCAATGGGTGAAGACAAACTTGAGCGCGAACGTCATAGAAATGAACAGGTACTACAATGTACTCTCGGATTCAATGGTATTATTATGCTAACCTTCGGCAGTGCGACACTTCAAAAAACGTATGAAAATCTCATGACCGAGCTCCAAAAGGCCATATCGGGAAGCCCGTCACCGCTTGCAAATTCAAGAGTCACGCGGACCACATCAGCTCTCGATGTGGAAGGATCGAGGAATATGGCCTTGGAACCGGCTGGCCTCATAGCGCAGGCAACCGCAGGGTCTCCTACAGCATCAACACGCCGCCGACCCCGTCTTGTGGACACAATGCTGTCTTCACAGCGAGCCCTCAGCAATCAGTACGAGCAACGGTCATTCGAGGTTGATGCTCCGGTTCAGCGGTCATCAAGAAGACAAAATGATGACACGGTCATGATAGATGCCCCATCGATCTCGTCTGCTCCGGTGAGCCGGTGGACAGAAGACCATCCTGAATGGTCCAAGAATTGGCGGATGCCCTTAGTCTACCACCGGACGTCGGTAGACAAAGATGACATTCCACGACTGGATGAAGGCCAGTGTTTGAATGACAACTTGCTAGGGTTTGGGTTACGCTATTTGTTTGAAGAATACCCAGGGAGGCATAACGAACTGAAAAAAAGGGTATACGTGCACAACACCTTCTTTTATGAGAAGCTCAAGCCTGCCAAGTCCAAGGATATCAACTACGATGGCGTCAAAGGATGGACATCGAAGGTGGACCTACTTTCTTACGACTACATCATTGTCCCGGTCAATGAGTACTATCACTGGTGGGTGGCCATCATCTGTAACCCCGGCAGATTGGACCCAAACCACCCGCGGCGTTCTACGAACTCAAGCAGTAGTGGCACAGAGACCAGCGATAGCAACTCCATTGAGGGCAAATTGGATGGCAACATCGAGAAGTCAGACGATGTTGAAATGATAGACATCGATAATGAACAGGCTACAGACCACGGGCAGGAGATCAAAGCTCAAGAATCTTGCGTGTCTGTTGACCGAATCGAAACCGACAGCAACAAGGCGGACAGGACGGGACAAGATGTGGTGGACTTGGTAGCCGACGACACAGACCATGACCTCAGGGAAAGGCTTAAAGGGATAACCAAGCTCCCGAAAAAGGACCCCTCGGAAGAAACGAAGATCCTTACCCTGGACTCCATGGGGAACAGCCATTACCCAGCGGTGCAAGCGCTCAAGAAGTATCTTCTGGCAGAATTCGAGGATAAAAAGCAAACGAAGATTAAGGATCTTCCAAAACAAATTGGAATCAAGGCGACCAACATCCCGGAGCAAAACAACTTCTCGGATTGTGGTGTATATCTGCTTGGGTATATTCAAGAGTTCGTCAAAGACCCAGACCGGTTCGCTCACTGCCTGATGCAGAGAGAAAAACCTGGATGGGAGTTTGACCCTTCCGAACTTCGGGAGTATTGGCGGAACACCATATTCGAAAAGCAAAAGGAACATCAGGCGAAGTATGATGAGGAGAAGAAGAGAAAGAAGGAGGAAGCTGCTAGACGCAAGGCTGCTAGCTCAACTCCATCCGACGCAGTGATGAGTGCTACAGAGAGCCAGACTTCGGGACGCACTGGTTTGTCCCATGATCCGGCAACCGACAACGTTTCTTCCGCACCTCAATTTGTTAGACCGCCAGTCGTTTCTCGGAACACCAACCCGAACATACCTGCTCCTGCTCCAAAGCCGACAACTGCTCTCAGGTCACCATTATCGTACGGGGCCTCTTCAGCGACCGGAACAGTGACTAACACTGCTGCTGTGGCTGCCGAGAGAGGTGGTGGCTCAAAGGGGAATATGTCAGATTCGCTCGAACCTATCCCACGGCCGCCTACTCGGCCCCAGAAAGCCGCCGACAACGTTGTTGTTGATCTGGAACGGGACGAATCCGAACCAAAGGACAAGGTCTCTCACCTTTCGCCAGACAGTCCTTTGCCTGGCGAGATCCGTCGTTCTAGAAACAAGGAGTACGAGCACTCTCCAAAACAGCGTGCCTCTTCGCGGACTCCTAGGCAGAGCCCCGAAGTCAAATTCATACCAAAGCTGCCCGACTCTTCTCCGGCCTCTGACAGGCGGACTTCGGGTATTGCTCAGGAGATAAGCCCGCAGACGTTCTACTCCAACGCCCCGCAGAGACCACAGTCACCAAAGCTACTGTCGCTAAAGTCACAGTCGCCGAGGCCGCAATCACCTTTGGTCGAACGGAAGCGGAAATCGTCACCAGTGCGCAAGGCAAAGGCATCACCACCCGCACGTAAGACGGCGCCTTCACCTGAGCCTGCAGCGCAACCCCTCGAATCGATCGAGATTTTTGATCCCCCTACTCCTGAAGTTCAAAGACCGTCGACGACTAGCAGCAAAGTCAAAGCCGAGGAGAAGGACAACAACCACGTAAACCACGTAAATAAAACTACCTACAAAAAAAGCGATAAACATACTCGCCAGAAGTCCAAAATACCTCGGAGAGTTGTGGACCATACTGATAGAAGCGGAAGTGGAAGCGGGAAGGGTGGCCGTGTAGAACAACAACAGCAACATCATCAGCGACAGCCACGTCCCAGCAAGCCCAAGGAAACGGCCGAGACCAAGTCTGAGGAGATCCCCGATTCACCCCCTCCGGCGATGGTCGTGTCTGACATCCCTGCGGTGCAAAGCGCGGAGATGACTCCTATTGACTTGACTGATGAAAACTGAGTGAAGATCAGGAGTATGTGGATTGGTTAGAGCGTTGAAGTTGTTCCTTGTTATATGTTTATTGTTGGTGTAAGCATATTCATTCATGCATCTGCCCATTTGCATTGCATGGTTTTGAGGCCTTGATGGCTGGTCGAGCATGGCTGCGTTGTTGTTTTCTGAAGCTCGTCGCTTGATTGTCTCGGAGTTATAACTCTCGAACTCTCCAAGTCTTGTACATCCTATTATTTAGGCGGAATATGTGGCGGTATTGACGTCCATCTAGGACTAGAGGAGGACCTTGAGTCGGGTGGCCATCTCAGTCCCGAGCTAGATGATGGAGTCTCTACCTAGTGCTGAAGGAAGAAGTAGCACCGCGTGATCTAACAGACTACCAATCCTCTGTTGGTATTTTTCCACGGAGAGCACATTACAAGAAGTTTACCATCCCTTTGATGATATATTGGTGACAGATTCCATAGTCTTTTAATGGCTCTGTGCAGCACAACTTAGCATCGGAAACCTAGTGGAATGGATTCATGACCAGAACTTTTCAACTCCCTTCAAATGCAGTGAGGCTACCTAAAAGATATGGTGTGGTATGTACAATACATGCTCTTTCTACTTTCTCTTTCTCCTTTGTCTATGAACAGCTTGGCTGTCGCGAATGCGATATAATGTCCAAAGCACTTTGTAACAAATTCAACAGGCGATGATTATTTGGCTCTCTTCTTGTTCATTTTCCGCGTACTTCTCATGTCTCACTCCGTCAAACGAGCTAGACAAGACAAGGCAGACGTACGTATGGTTCCCATCTTCTTCCTCTATTCCTCCTCTTCTTCCTCCTCGCTCTCCTCCCCCTTAGCCCCCGCTCGCCTAGCAACCTTGGGCACCTCGAAAATAGTAGCGCCGTTTCTTCCTTCCTTCATGTACTTCCACCTTCCCAACCTCATCTCCTTGCCCGTAGCCACCACGATGCAGATGCCGTCGCGACCACGGTTGCCGCGCTCGAAGATGGCAATGTCATTGATAATACCCCTAATCAGCCCGCTCTCTTGCTTCTTCTTCTTGTCTTGCGACCCATCCACCGAGGCCTCGTCATCCGCTTGCTCCTCCCCACTGCTTGCGGTTGCAGGTTCCTTCTCCTCCTTTGCCTTTTGCTTCGCTTCCTCCTTCTGCTTCTGGGCCTCGGCCTGGTCAAGCTGCTGCAGCGCCGTGCTGGAACCGAGCACGCCAACGGGCAGGATCTTCTTCTTGTCCTCGCTCAGGCGCCACACGCGCACGAAGCCGTCCCAGGAGCCCGAGAGGATGACGTCCGAGTACGGGATAGTGCGGAGGGCGGTGATGGCGCGGGGCTGCGGGGTGGGCACGACGCTCTCGTCCGGATTCGCGTCGGCAGACACCTCGGTCGGCTTGAGCGGCGGGTCGATGCCGTGCGCGCACGGCTGCGTGAACAGGGCCTTCTTGCGGTTGATGCCCCACAGCGAGAGCGTGCCGGCCGAGTCGCCAGTCACAAAGAGCTCGTCGTCGATCATGGCCACCTGGTCCATGGTGCCATCGTGGTTCACCGCCTGGTCCCGGTTCTTATGGGATTTCTTCTCCGACACGCCGCCGCGGAACACGAGCTGCGACTCCTCGGGTACCTTCCAGTAGCGGGCGGTCCGGTCGCGCGCGCCAACGGACACGCAGCGCTCGCCGGCCAGAGCGTCGATGTCGGGGATCTCATCCTGGTGGCCGAAGAGTGTTTCAACGTAGGCGAGCTCGTCGAGCGACCAGACTTTCACTGTCCGGTCCTTGGAGGCAGAAAATATTTGGTTAGTGCCGCGGCGGAAGGCGAGCGAGGTAACGGCGTCGCGGTGCTGGGTGAAGGCCCGGAGGGGCTTGAGGGTCTCGGCGTCGTGGACGACCATTCGCTTGTCGGCGCCGCCGGTGACGACAAACTTGCCGTCGGCAGAGGCCCTGACCGTCAGGATGGCCGCGTTGGTGTGTCCCTGGTATGTCTTGTCCTTTGCCTTGGTCGGGTTCGCTCTGTTGAAGCACACTCTCTCGGGTTTCTTCTTGGGCGGCGCAGGCGGCTTCTTTGGCTTTTTCTTGGTCGTCTGTGGCCACTGGTTCTTGGGTAGGTCTTGTAGCTTCCACTTGGTAAGGTAGCCGTCTTTTGTGGTGGTGTAAGCGTACGGCGCGCAAACCGAGACTGATGTTACCGTTCCTGAATTCCATCTAAACTGTGTGTGTGCGGCCTTGTCAAAGTCGAGCTTGGAAGCCAACTGGCGGTAAACCTTGCCCTTGGCCTCAGCCACGTCCTCCTGAAGACGCTCCGCCAGCAAATCACGGTCAATCTGCTCGGCGTCAAAGGCATACTCGTCCTCCAGTTCCACCTCTTGTCGTGCCTTGTCCAGATACCGCTGTGCCAATCTTAACCGCTTCTCGGCCGCCGTCTCTCCTTCGTGGTCCGACTCCTCTTCTCCTTCCGATCCGTCCTCTCTCTCAATATGGTCGCCATCGTCACTGTCAATGTCGCTGCCGGATATCGACTCGTCGCGCTCAACGGCTTTCTTGGGGGCGGCGGGGCGTGATTTGGCGGCAGGGCCTCTGGCCGAGGATGACTTGGCAGTCGATTTGCCAGTCGCAACTCGCTTCTGCGGGGCTTCGTTGGCAGAGGCACGCTTCCTCTTCTTTTCCCCAGCGGGTGCTGTGAAAAAGGACGACATGGTGTTGGCAATTGCGGCCCGGGGCAGTCGGTGCAAATGCACTGGAGTCGTCTGGTGGTAGAGAATGACACTGGTGTGTGAATTGGGGTCGCGTTTGGCTTCACTTCAACGCTGCTGCATGGCTATCAAAGTTGAAATTTTTGGTATGGCCGTTCGCGCCTAGATACACCCGACCCGACTTCGAAAGGAAAAAAAAAAGTTGCCCACCCTGCAGGCTTTCTATCGGTGGAGTAGCACGCCGATTCGTCAAGGTCTCCTCCACTGGCTTGGCACAATTGAACAAGTCGGAGAAGGGAATCCCCGTGCCGTGCACTCTACCTTATTGTGTCACTAACGGACATTAGGGCCATATCACGTCAAATTGTGCTAGCGAGCTATTAGTGCTTGACTGGTGGGGAGGCTCTTGCTGTCTCCAAAAGAAGTCCCCGGGCTATCCCAGTAGGTTTCATGACGGAGTGGGGCTGTCCCTCTCGCTGTCTGTTTGCCTGCCCAGTGGTTGCAGCTTTCAGCCCTTGAGGTTCTGGGGACTGGAATGGAAAGATGGAAGACGATAGCGGGCACCTGAACAGCCTGGCCCGTGCTTGTCAGCTTGCAGGCTGAAGCTCCAGTGCGCGTTCCCCGTCGCCGTCAGTTCAAGCTCCAACTGCCCTGTCCCGCCATAGGTAACGACGAGAACCGTGCAAGCCAACGCAACTTGAAGCTTGCCAAAACAACAGCATATCATCCATCACTCACAAAACAATCAGCCAAAATGTACGTCGCATCGGTCATGTCTTGGAGAGGTGATATCAGAGCTGATCAGCATGTAGGGAGGTTTTACTAGGTATCACGGGCAAGGACTTTACCATCATTGCGGCGTCCAAGGCCGCTATGCGGGGAGCGACCATCCTGAAGGCATCTGACGACAAGACAAGGTCGCTGAACAAGCACACACTGATGGCATTCTCCGGTGAAGCTGGCGACACAGGTACGGCAACGATATCGTGATGATGGCGCTTTTGAACCAAACCAAGTTGTTAACCAACTGTTTCTTCCCCATCAACAGTACAGTTCGCCGAGTACACCCAAGCCAACGCCCAGCTCTACTCCATGCGCAACGGGACCGACCTTTCCCCTTCTGCCCTTGCCAACTTTGTCCGCGGCGAGCTTGCGACGAGCTTGCGCTCCCGGAAACCCTACAACGTGAACCTCCTTCTCGGAGGTGTCGACCCTATCACCCACAAGCCCAGCCTCTACTGGCTCGACTACCTTGCGTCGTTGGCGAAGGTCCCCTACGCCGCCCACGGCTACGCACAGTATGTGATCTCGCCTGATATCTTTATACCGTCTTTGTTGCGTAGGAGTCATGTACAGAATCACTGACCGGTTCTTTCCTCATCAGATACTACTGCCTCTCGATTCTCGACAAGCACCACCACCCAGACATCACCCTTCACCAGGGCATCAAGCTTCTCAACCTGTGCACCGACGAGCTCAAGAGGAGGTTACCCATAGACTTCAAGGGCATGACGGTCAAGGCGGTAACGAAGGACGGCATTATCGATATTGAGTTCGACGACGACAAGGTGGTTAAGATGGCTTGATTCGTGGGGATGCTTGCTTACTTGCCTGCTTGCGGCTTGGGAAGCCTTGCGGGGGAAGGACAACTCTGTATAATAATACCCATACGACGGAAATGCATGAGTCCAGGTGGTTTCCACCAACGGGAGACCCCTGGCGAATTTGATGTTCATAAAGAAAGAGAGAGGAAGAAGCAAGGCTATCATGTTAAGAGTTGTGAAGTCCGAGAGTCAGTCTCTGCGGCTCCCGGTTTCAGTGTGGCGTGTGGAGCGCTCCTGGGCCGATCATACACCCTGCCACCGACATCATTGCGATATGTCAGGGTTGCTTCTTTTTGCTCCTTTCCTCGAAACAGTTCTCCAACCGGTCAGATATCATCCCCGCAGTTGAGGATAAGGGAACCTGTTTAACGTGCTCTGGCAATCATGGGCGGAAGTATATTATAATGCTGAAGCGCACACTACGAAAACGGTTTCAATTGAGACAGAGGCTCGACGAGCACTTGAAGTCCGTATTGTGTACCTTTCTGAAACCGACAAGCTGTAACATGAGTCATGACTACTGGTAACCGTTGAAACAACTATGAAAGTATTTCACATTGTCAGGGAATTGTTATACAGCCAGATGAGAAGAGCTCGAGCCAGTCAATGGTCAATTCTCATTTCATATGTTCAGTCAGCATCATTAAAAGCACACGCAGAGAAGACGCAGTAAAGGGACTTGAAGGAATGTGCTAAAGTGCATGTGTGTAGTACGAGCCATGTAGTGTATAATCGCTGGCTAACATGACGAGGCCCATTATCACTGAAAGCGGTGAGCGCTACAAGCGTGATGGTTGGTGACTGGTGATACCTTAGGACGACGTGGGGAAATTCGGGACGGAGCCTTTCTGCAAACCCTTCCAAGATAGTACACAACTGTCTCTCTGCAGCTGATACCTACCAATGTACATGTCACCACAGCGGAGGGCATCAGCGGCCCGATTATGTATGTCGCTGTTGCAACTGTCATCCGAGTGTCTGCTGTCAACATCTGCAAAGGCAAGTGGTGTAAGAAATGGGAGGCGTCGGTTACCAGCAATTTCTGAGTGCAACTTGCGCCCCCCATTTCTTTCACCACCTGAAAGGTTAGATAAAAGGTGCGGAGATCGGTGCAGAAAGAGATGGATGGATATTCAATGAAACCGGCAACACCGGCTGAACGCGGGATAGAAGAAAACGACAAGAGGCAAGAGGACAAACCGCCCCTTATCATCTAGACGAAGGAAGTGCCATTTGCCTTTTGCCTGCCAAAGGGGTCAAAGCCAATGGCTTGTTTCCATGTTGTTCCTTGTCTGCCCTTCTGTGTCCACTCAGCATATTGAGGTTTGTGGGCTTGCATGGTCAATCACAGTTGGTCCAGCTGGCCAGCCAGATCAATAAGGAAAAAGAACGGTGTGTTTGTGCGTAGCAAAAATTGAAAGCTGAGCAAAGATCTTTCCAAAACGTTCGAGATCTATAACAGAGGATGGGAAAGATAGCAATGATGTTAATTTGTTGCCACCCGAACTGCCTAGCAAGGCCTAGCAAGGGCAAGGCGTGTGAACGTTCCGCTTGTTGCCCTGCCTGCCCTGCACTGCTGCTTCCTTGCAATCGCCAATCGCATGACCAGCATTGTCCTTAAGACGGTAGAGGTACCGGTACAAAGACCCTTTTTTGCCATCAACGTGACAAACCTTGGAGAAGACGAGCGGATGAACGTTCACGGGTCCCGGTTGCTCTTGAAAGCCCAGACTGCAGTAACCTTTGCCCAGATCCGTACATGATCCAGACGGCAATTTTCTTCGGGGCAGCTGGCATCTTGACACTTCCCCACGTTGCCCACGTAAGAAGGTGGGATTCTGAGTGGCTGACAGTGACAGCAGTCAGCTTTGGTGGGAAAGTGGTGGCCGTCACGATTTGTGCTGTGCTGGCAAAAAGCTCACTGCCGGGTAAAAGATGGGCAACTTGGCAAACAAGCGCTGGATCAGACAAGAAGAAACCGAAAATGAGTGAGCGAAGGAAGGGATGGAAGAAAGAACGAAGGGAACGAGACCCGTTCGTTGTATGCCCGTTTTGAAGACACTGCAAGCTGAAATCTTTATTCCTGCCTTCCTTCTGGTCTGTGTTCGGTTGAAGATTGAAGTCGGAACGGTAACTGCACCGTATCCTCGCTGTGCATCCGCAGTGTCTACAGTACATTACGCTCCCTTCGCTTCCGTCATCTTCTTACCTTACCTATAGCAAGGGGTCCAGTTCCAGTCCTCCCTTTCTGTAGCCCGTAGACACTTGAAATGACCTAGCGATGACCATGCTAGTAAAAGCCTGTAGAGTCCGATCGCATCTTGGAAAGAAAAGCATTTGAAAGCTGACAAAACCACCCATCCATGAGAGGCGACGGCGTGCAGAACGAGAACACCGCTGGCAGAGGTACCTCTACTTCCGTGTCTCTGGGATCAGATAGACGGGTCGCAGCCAGCGTGCCACAGAGAGGAGGCTTCGGCGAGTGGGCAAAGCCTCCAGCTTGGACACCTCACAAGAGTGGAGCCTTCCCACCATGGGCAGTGGGTGGGAAGGCTCGGCAGGCCACCTGCCATCTAACCAGTTAGAACTGCAGGCGGGCAGTGAGCAGCCGGTTCTACCAGTGGAGTCACAGATACTAAAACACTTGGGGTTTTTCTCCAGGTCGCTCCCGTTTAAAAAAACTTTCTTTTCCCTTTTCTCTTCCACCACACTCAACAGGATTTTATAATCCATTCTCCCTTTCATCCGAATCGCATTTCCCTTACCACTCTTGTCGTTCCTTTTTCCTTTTGAAGATTTGTTTTTTCTTCCAAAAGGATTCTAGGAGACATTCTCCCAGACTTAATACTTGCGATACAAGCTGAGAAAAGAGCGAGCATTCGGTTTGTTCGGTTTTTGCCTTCTTTTCTCGTCAATTCATTCTCGTCGGTTCTCCTTTTGAACATTCGTTCTTTTCGGGAGCCTTTCGAAAAAGCAACAGCTTCGTCAAGTCGATTCCAACGATAACACAACTCTCACTCCTTCACCGCGATTTTATCCGACAAGAAGACCAACCATTGCAATCATGGCGGATCAACTCAGCAGCGGCATGGGCAACCTGTCCATCGACCAGCAGCCCCCCTCGGGCCCCCAGATGGGAGGCCAGGGCCAGATGAGGCGCTCTTACATTCCTCCTCACCTTCGCGGCAAGATGGGCGACGCTGCTCCTCCTATGGCCGGCCCCAACGGTCTTAACAACAGCGCTTGGGCTGGGTAAGTTAAATCCCACCTTGGTCTCACTTGCCCATCAAATGAGATCGCGTAAGCTAACATTCATCGTCTTGCAGTAACAACAACTACGACGCTCGTGGCCCAGGAGGCGGCAACTGGCCCGCTCCCGGTGGTCCCGCTCCCGGTGGCCCCCCTGGCCCTGGCTTTGAGGGCCAGCAGGGCGCTGGCTGGGGCGGCCCTCGTCCTCAGGGCGGCTTCAACCCCAACGCGTACCGCGGTAACGCTGGCGCTGGCGCCGGTGCCGGTGCCGGTGGTGGCGGCAACTTCAGCAACCGTGGCTCTGGCGATGGTCAGTGGCGCGATGGCAAGCACATTCCCGGCCCTGCCAACCCCCGCGTCGAGCGTGAGCTCTTCGGTACCCCCGACGACCCGTCCAAGCAGCACACTGGTATCAACTTCGAGAAGTACGATGACATTCCCGTTGAGGCCTCCGGTGACAACGTGCCCGAGCCCGTTCTTACCTTCAGCAACCCTCCTCTGGACAACCACCTCATTTCCAACATTCAGCTCGCCCGCTACAATGTCCCCACTCCGGTTCAGAAGTACTCCATCCCCATCGTCATGGGTGGCCGTGATCTGATGGCTTGCGCCCAGACTGGTTCCGGCAAGACTGGTGGTTTCCTCTTCCCCATTCTTTCTCAGTCTTTCCACACTGGTCCGTCTCCGATTCCCGCCAGCGCCGCTGGTGCCTATGGTCGTCAGCGCAAGGCGTACCCCACCGCCCTGATCCTTGCTCCCACTCGTGAGTTGGTCTCTCAGATCTACGACGAGGCTCGCAAGTTCGCCTACCGTTCGTGGGTTCGTCCTTGCGTCGTCTACGGTGGTGCCGATATCGGCTCCCAGCTTCGCCAGATTGAGCGCGGCTGCGATCTTCTTGTTGCTACTCCTGGTCGTCTTGTCGATCTCATCGAGCGTGGCCGTATCTCCCTCTGCAACATCAAGTACCTCGTCCTTGATGAGGCTGATCGCATGCTTGACATGGGTTTCGAGCCTCAAATTCGCCGTATCGTTGAGGGTGAGGACATGCCCAAGGTCAATGACCGCCAGACTCTCATGTTCTCGGCCACTTTCCCCCGCGACATCCAGATCCTCGCCCGCGATTTCCTCAAGGACTACATCTTCCTGTCCGTTGGTCGTGTCGGTTCCACCTCTGAGAACATCACCCAGAAGGTCGAGTACGTCGAGGATATTGACAAGCGTTCCGTCCTTCTCGACATTCTCCACACCCACGCCGGAGGTCTCACCCTTATTTTCGTTGAGACCAAGCGCATGGCCGATTCGCTGTCCGACTTCTTGATCAACCAGAACTTCCCCGCTACTTCCATTCACGGTGACCGCACTCAGCGTGAGCGTGAGCGCGCTTTGGAGATGTTCCGCAACGGTCGCTGCCCTATTCTGGTTGCCACTGCTGTCGCTGCTCGTGGCTTGGATATTCCCAACGTCACCCACGTCATCAACTACGATCTTCCTACCGACATTGATGACTATGTCCACCGTATCGGTCGTACCGGTCGTGCCGGAAATACTGGTATTGCCACCGCTTTCTTCAACCGTGGCAACCGTGGTGTCGTCCGCGAGCTTCTTGAACTCCTCAAGGAGGCCAACCAGGAGGTTCCTGCCTTCCTTGAGACCATTGCCCGCGAGTCCTCGTTCGGCGGTGGCCGTGGCGGTCGCGGTGGCGGTCGTGGCGGCGGTCGCGGTCGCACTCAAACTGCCGATTACCGCAAGTTCGGCGGTTCCGGTGGTGGCGGCTTCGGCGGTGGCTTCGGCGGTGCTCCCGCTAGCGGCGGCTACGGCGGCGGCGGCTACGGTGGTGGTGGTGGTCCTCCCGCTGGTGGCTACGGCGGTGGTGGTGGTGGTGCTGGCTACGGCGGCGGTGGCGGCGGCGGCGGCTATGGTGGCGGCGGTTACGGCAACCCTGGCGGTGCCGGTGGCCAGTCTTGGTGGTAAATTATCTTCAACCACTATTTCCCGCAGCCGCACCATGCTGCGAACATGGCCAACGGCCAGATCGGATATTATTCGACGCTTTCTTTGTGGAATTTCTTATCATACTCTTTTCGATTTCTGATTTTTCTTCGGCATTTCTTATCGCGGCGAAGACATGGCCTTTTCCTCCCACACCGGGTTTGGGAGGAGCAGGCTTCTAAGGCTTACACTCGGGCTTTCACGATAGACATCCTCGCCTTGTTTTGTTCATTCCGAGAACTCCCGACAACAACTTGATACCCTTAGATCGCGAAAGCTTGGGCCTTCTACAAGAGAAGAGCTGCGAGATGGTGCGTTTTTGCATCAATTGCAGCCCACGGTTGACATGATTTAGAACGAACTAGATCTCTACGTCAGCCTTCACGATGTCATGTTTCTGCTCTTGCCGTTCAGAGAGAGCCTTTTGCTTTCACATAGATGAATGGGTCATGACGCGCCGCCAACTTTTTCATGTTTTCTCTTTTTCTCTGGACATTACACATCATACATAGACAAAAGCGGATTACTCGGTTCCTCTGGCCGCGGTCGACCTACGACACCGCGTCTGGGCAGTCTCTCCCAAGGATTTCTTTTCTTCGATGGGGTTGTTTTTTTCCAGAGAGACCTTGTCTCATAGACCGGTAATTGTTTTTTCGGCAGATGAGAAATGAAAAGGATGCGGGAGGAAAAGAACGCGCGCGTTTACGATGGTTAGCAGGAAGCATGATACCCTTTTTTTCGACATACGCATGGTCTTTTTTAGAGACTGGGAAGAAGGGGAAAAGTGCGTCCTTCTTGGGTTCTTAATTGGGTTTGAACGGGCACGGGGCAAAAGCCTAAAAGGGCATCTGCGAATGGGCTAATCAAAAAGGAGAGTGTTAAACGGGCAGAGGCTTAGGAAGGGGAGGTGTTCTTTTGCACAATGTTTTTTTCCCTGGACATGGTTTGGGATTTGGGCTTGGTTTATACGGTTGAACCAAGATCGAAGCTCGGGCATTTGGGAAAAGTTCCCCGGACATGGCGGCTGCTTGTTTTTGTCTCCTTGGCATCAGTGGCGCGCGAGACGGAATTGTCTGAACTGAGGAATCCAATCAAAAACATTTCAACTTCGTTATACTCTTGATGTATTTTGTGCTTGGTGACTCGTGATTCGATGTGTGTGTGTGTGGCCAAACAATGTAGTGGACTAGGTCCTTTCGGTAATCGAGTACCTATCATGAGAGCATGACATGACAACCAAACGATCGAAGTGGCAACTATACATTTTCGACGTTCTAATTATCGTAAGACTGGAGCTAGTGAGATTCTGCGGTGAGCATTCCACGATTTTGGATATGTCAAGACTATGATATGATGTGTAGGCTTCCAGTCCAACACATGTGGTGGGTGTTGCCGTGTGTATGATAACTTCCAGGTCAAATCTTTGTGTGTCCCATTCATCTCAAATGAAAACTTAGCATTATCATGATACATCGTCGTCAATCATCACTACGACATCAACTCCTCCAGGATGGACTCCAGCTCCTCTTTCCTAAAAGGTAAGCTCAAATATTCCGTCCCTATCGAGTCCTTGTGACTCGTAATGATTTGATGATCGTGGAATCTGTTTCCGTTCTGTTAGCCGTTGTCCGTATAGGGCCAAAAAAAAAAAAAAAAAAAAAAAAAGACCTCTCCACAGCCAAGCCACAGCAGAGGGAAGAACATACTCCTTTAGCAGCGTCCTAAACGCCATCTCCGAACTGCAAATAAACTCCTCCACAGCCTTGTTGTAAAGCATCCTATACTCTACCCCCGGCCCTTCTCCTCCCGCTGCAAACTCCCCTGCCCCTGATGTACCACCACCACCACCACCACCGTCCTCAAAAGCCACCAAAACCTCCCCCACAATCAGCCCAAACAACTTCCTCGCGTTCTCGGGTAAACTCCGCAACACAAACGCCACTCCTTCCTTGCCACCCGCTCTCTTGCCCATCCTACCCAGTAACTCGTGTACTTCGTCTACTACGTCCAACTCCTTGCTGTGGTCTGCAAAAGTGGTGCAGTCGTGAAATGCAAAGTTGAACGAGGAGCGTAAGCTGGAGTCCCAGAGCAGAGGGAAGTCGGGCGTGTCGACGGTGCAAGCGAGAGAGATGGATGGGTGTGAGGAGAGGTGGGCGAGGAGGGATTGAGTTTGGGGTTTGCGGAGGGGGGAGAAGGGGGAGTCAAGGGAGGCTAGGAGGAGGGTTATTCTTGGCTTTTGCGGGGAGGACGACGAAAAGGAGGAGAGGAGGGTGAAGAGGTTCTGGATCATGGCGAGCGGGTTTCCGGAGGGCAGGCGGAAGGTGGGGTCGATGGCGGCCGAGATGGTGGTGAGGATCTCGCGGAAGGTGAGGGTGCGGGTGTGCCCGTTAATCATGATGATTGTGTTGTTTGTGTCATTGCCGCCGGAGGAGAAGAGGTATTCAGCGAATTGGTGCAAAATTCGACGCTTGGAGCCGTAGCCGTAGAGGCAGACGCTGAAGCCTTGGGAGAGCTCAAAGGCCCATTGGGGGAAGGAGGCGGCGTGTTGCGACTGGAGGGCTTCGATATGTTTTTTGTGGGGGTCCTGACCCAGGTTGCGGAGGAGCGAGAAGTATTCTTCGTGGGTGAGGAGGTCGAGCGAGGAGAGCGTGTTGTTGGAGGTTTTGTTGGATCCCGGCTTGTTCTGGTAAAAGTATTGTTCATGGGGAGGGAGGTCTCGGGGTGGTGTGGGCGATTTCTTTCGTCGTGCTGAACCGGGAGTTCTGCCTCCTCGTCCTCTCCCCCTCCCTGTCTTGGATGGAGTGGTTGCTGCTAACTCGGCCTCTTGGTCGGCGAGGTTTTCGTGTTGGGTATCTCCTTCCTCTTCTTCCTCGCTTGACTCGTAGATCTCTCGTGCGATTTGTTGCTCTTCGTCCTCGTCATCGCTTACGGCGCCCTCCAGCACACGGTCGATGAGAGCCCTGGCACTCTTCCGTCTAGCTGATCGGTCGGCAATTCCTCGCCTGCCGGGTGTGTCGACGCCACTGATTCCTTTGAGCTTGATCGGTGTCTGGTCGACTTGTTTCTTGCGCAGGGCAGATGGTATGGTCGGCTTGCCACTTGGTGTTCCTCCCGTTTTGGCCTTCGGTGGTCGCCCTATCCTTTTCTTGCTGGGTGTCTGCTCGGTAGGTGACTCGGGTTCTTCTGGCACAGAGGCTAGGTCGCGCTGGAGGAAATCGACCTGTTTCCCCGGGGTAGCGTTTCGCTTTGAAGGTGTTCCTCCATCTTCTGATTGTCGCCGTTGACGCTTCGCGGAGGGAATCGCATCATCCTCATCTGGAATTTCGTAGGGGTCGGCAGGGAGTGGCCGCTTTCGAGAGGGGCGTTCGACTAGATCGTGCTGATCTGTTGATTTCCGACGAGGAGGCATACCGTCTGTGTTATTGGCTTTGGTTTGTGTTGTCCAAGTTGTATGGCATGCCTTGGAGTTCCGCTGTACCTTTACCTTACCTCTGCAACTCGAACCTAAATCAACGGGAAACTTTTGTAAAGTCAAGACGCGCTCGCCTAATTGAGACGCGTTAAGCTGTACATAGGCCCGGGATGACGCTACATAGGTACCTCCCTAGGTGGGAAGACGGCAGGTACTGCTAGAGAGTACCTGCGGGTAGCAGGGTTCGCTGCCTGACGGGGGCAAGCCAAGCCCCTGTCTACCACCACATACACTAGGTACTTAGCTGGAGGGTTATAGGTGGGAGTTCCTAGGCTTTCTTGCAACCTCATGTCATCTCAACCAAACAAACTCCAAGAGGACTATCGCGACCAACATGTCAAAGCTCAATCTTAATTTGTCTGCCTCATTGAACATTTTCAAGCTTATCGCTAAGCCTTCACTATGTCTGCCCCACGTTACAGTTCCAACGTTCAATGACCTGCCTATCCCTCTTAACAAAGCCTTTTCCGGCAATGGCGAGAAGAAGGTTGACATAAAGGCTGTCGTGCTCGACAAAGATGACTGCTTTGCCTATCCTGATCACAATGAAGTGTATGAGGCTTACAAGGTGGGTTGTCTTCTCGTCCCAGTCTCATTCAGGATCACTTTGACTGATAAAACCAAGGAACGCATGGAGGCCCTACGAGCAGCATACCCAGGACGCCGTCTTCTGATCGTCTCCAACACTGCTGGTGCCCTAAGCTGGGACAAGGACGGCCAGATGGCATCCGCAGTTGAAAAGGCCACCGGCATCACTGTTCTCCCTCATGGTGTGAAAAAGCCAGGCTGCGGAGACGAGATTATGTCCTACTTCCGTGCCCACCCAGAAACCGGTGTCACCAGTCCTCACCAGATCGCCGTCGTGGGAGACCGACTGGCCACTGACATGATGCTTGCCAACATGATGGGTAGCTATGGCATCTGGATCAAGGATGGAGTTGTTCCCCACCAGCAGAAGAGCATCGTAAGGGAAAACCTGCAACCAAAGCTGCGTGATAAGCTGCAGTCTTTTGCTGACTGGGACATGATAGTGGTCGAGAGTTGAGAGGACTGTTGCGCCCTTCCTTGTATCCCGTGGTTATACCGCTCCTGAGCCAGTGAGCCCCTTTGAGTAACTGCATTTGTGCTTCTCCAGAGAAAGAAGACAGCGTGTAGCAATGTATGTTTTCTGCATATTCCCAGGAGCTGAGGTGGGTTCTTTTTTTTCTTTCGAATCTCTGTTCCATCCTCTTTGATTGTTCCGTTGTCGTTGTCCTCCTCTACGTTGCGGTTTTGCCCTATTTATATGTCTTGCTCGTTGTGTCCATTTCCCATGAAACGTGTTTCTTAGGTGTCTCGCTTAATGGTGGTTTCTGGCGCGAGGAAAACAGGCGTGCTACAGATCTCCTCTCAGCTGCCGGGCCTGTCTTTCCGTCTGTCTGCGCGATTGTGGGAGTCTTCGAGCAACGTGAAGGATACCGTCGTGACTATAAGCGACAGTTTCATGTGGCTTAGCCGGCTGTTCGTTGGCTTGATATCAGTCCCGTTGAAATGCGGCAGAGAACGCTACCAACGGATGTGTTAGCAAAGACACGATAGTTGGACACATCGAGAAGACGCCATGGAAAACCAGTTCCCGGCAATATCGAGTGTGCGAACAAGGCACGCAAGCTTGTTTACTTGTCGGTAAACAACACGTTATTTAGTGTCACATCTCTTTGGCAGCTGGTTCCGCTACGTGTTCGGACTCATTTTTTTTTTCTGATTTTTGTCGAGTGAATGTCGGAGAACCTTATCGTGGAAAGGACCGACGACCGTCACAATGGATTATGAAAGAATCGAAAACGAACCTAGTGGTTGGCAAAAAACGTGGCAGATCAGGACAACCTGATAGGATGTTGCTAATGTGATGAAGGTTGTTCAGGGTTCTTCCAAAAGCCTTGAGAGTGACCGAGGAGTGTTCGGTAGTAGTCGTGTGCGTCGGAATAAGTCGAATCCACAACGACGACCTTGCCAGTACGTTTGCTGCCTACAGGCTTCGATAGCAGGTTACTCATCATTTCACTCTCGTGGCCAGCGAGCAGCTAGTCGGTGAATGATATTTGGAGGCCACAGATTTGCCGGCCGGTCTGGGTGGTCCTGTTGGGATGCTTTGGCAGCTGCCAGGAACGCCGTTGGTGGCTATGTCCACCTATCTCGTCACCCATAGTTAAAGGCCATTGTCGACCCACAACGTCCTCTCGCCAAACCTCCAAACTGTTTGCCGTCCCAATTCATCGTCGTCATTCGGTGCTTCGAAATCTGTTCTCGAAGACGTCAACTGCACAACTGATAAGGTTGGCGCAAGGCAGTCGCACAAGTTCTGGATCCCCTTCCATAACCCAAAAGGAGGCCCGATTCTCAAAATTCGGAGGGCAGCCACGGAGATTCACTTGCGGATCAGCTTTGGTAGAATCTCAATCCAGAGGTATACGCTGTCATACAATCTTTTACCTCCATCGTTTTCTCCGTCGTTGAGCGATCTGGTCGCGTTCGGAGCGGACGAGTGCGAGTAACGAGATAGGTGGTGGTAGGCATCCGATCGGCCCCAGCAATTTGGACAAACCTTGTTTGTCGTCTGATATAGACGAGAACGTTGGATGTGTCACGGCTGTCTTGAATAAGGGCCCCGACAATATCATTAGTTCAGGTTTTGTTGTTCCACCGCTTTAACTCTTCCTTCACTGGATCACTTCTCAGACGGTTGTCACTGTGGGCTTCCGAGGGTCGCCATCAGAACCTCCTATAAAAGAGGAGGGGCTGTCGTCTCCTTCTCCCCTTTTCCTTCGTCCTTTAAAGGGCTTTTCCATCAGAGCTAACCTCCCTTACGACTATCTCGAGGAACACAGGTATGTCGTCCTCTCCTCTACTTAGTTTCCTTCTTCCTACATGTCGTCCTTCGGCGCCATCTTTTTCCAGAGCTGACTTCTTCAGAACTCACCCTTAAAGCACATCTCCGCCGACAATCGTCCATCATTCTTTGCCCTACAACTGGTTTTCATTCTTGCTTCAGCCACCTTGCCGCATATCACAGACCCCCCGTCTCACAGCTGTCATCGGGGACCTGCCATTCCTGACTTCGACGCAATGGGTGGCAAGCAATGGGCGAAGGAAGAGGAGCTCATCTTCTGGAGGCATGTCGTCCCCAAGTCGCCCAAGCGCGTCGGAGGAGATAGACAGAATCGCGAAATGTCCTGGAAGGACTGCGCTGCCTGGATGCAACGACGCATGGCCACAGTCTTTAAAGAGCCGCGACGAACCTATACTGAACTGTGTCTCTGTGAGTCTTCCCTCCGTTGTCTCAAACCCCTTCGTGAGCTGATCAGGACCAGTTGAGCATTACTTTCAGAATGCTGAGAAGGAGAAATTTTCTCCCCACGCGGAAGTACTAGTACGACGATATCTTGCGCAGAGTATGTACACAACGATACCCCTTTGTCTTTTGTCTATACTCCTGTCACTGTTGGAGAAAATACTGACGATGATTGTTCTGTCTCCAGAGAGAGCAGATGAACTCCGTCACGGTCAGGGCAACGGTGAGGCAAACGATCAGGGCAACGGCCCGGGCGACAGCGACAATAACGACATTAACGAAGAATCGCACATTCCTCAGCCTTTGGGCAACGCCGGATCCCCTATCCCCATGACACCAGCTCGCCCTCGGAGCTTGGCCACACAGAGGGCCAAAAACACCGACCATCAAGAGGATTCTCCTTCGTCGATGTCCCCATTCGCCCCCGGTTACAACAACAGCGATGGTTATGCAAGCATTGGAAAACAGGCAAGCACTCCCAGTTACACAGGCTCGAGAGGATATTCCGACCACCTTGGTCATCGTAAGCCCGGTAGGATGTCTCTTGGCCCCAGCGGCAGTTTGGCCGCTCCCACGATGCCCATGGCGCCCATGGATGAGGAGGAGCTTCCTTCTCTCGCGGGCCTTCGCACTGCTTCACCCTACAGCCACGATAGTCCTGTTACCCCAGGACAGTACTCTGAGGTAAACTCGAGTCCGCCTATGCAGATGCCTCAAGCCATGCGCCATCATTCGGTAATCGAGAGGCAAGCTGCGAGTGCTGGCATGAGTGTTCAGGACCTCCTGAACAGCTCCCCAGCTAAACAACATCCTTCGCCACAAGCCTCTCAGGGTTCTGTCCACGACGGTTACAGCATTCAGAGCGGCTACAACTACTATCCGAGTTGCGTTCAGGATCTCGCCCAGGGATACGACAACAGCTACTCCCCAAACTACACATCGAACTATGGCCAGCCTTACGTCCAGGGATACAATGATGGCGTCCACAGCTACAATCAAGGCTACGACTCAAGCCCCCAAGGACACAACAATGGCATTCAGGGCTACAACCAAGGCTACGACTCAAGCCCCCAAGGACACAACAATGACATCCAGGGCTACAACCAAGGTTATGAGTCAAGCCTCAATGGACTTCCACAGAACCGCATCGATGATGCGTCCTTCCCTACCCGAGCTGTTTCGAGCAATGCCACTCTATCCACTCACGAGGGCGCGACTTACAACAACGAGTACCATGGTTCCAACAGTAACAACAACTACCAGAATAGCAGTATCCCTAACGGAAGTGGAGAGCAATCAGCTGCATACGGCCGTCGTGGTCCTCAGAGGTCCGTGAATCGCGCCTGAACTAGGTCAGCTAAGCTCTCACAACAAACCATGGCTTATGGCTACGACTCGAGACATATCCTACCGTATCTCCTTAACAGACATGTTGCTTGCTTTACCACTTTCGCTTCAACAGGTAACGCGTTTTATTTACTTTGGTCTTCAGGTTGCATTCATCTCTCCGGTCTTTTCGTTTGCGAGATCTCCATCATCATCAGCAACCTCAGAGGCAGCTTTCATTTCTTCGAAACAGCATTCAAAAAAGGCGTTAGGGCGTTGAAATGGTTCCGCAGCGCTTTTCTTTTCGGTTCGGCTCAATCCTTTATTCAGCATTTTCTTTACCTTCATTCGGAGGTGTAATACGCGCCTTCCACCTCGAGAGCATCGATAACCATCATACTTACATTACGGCCTTCCATTTTCTCTCGCGGCCCTTCGGCTTATTTCCTTCAGCATCGCATTTCTCATCATGTCGCCTCTGAAAAACAAAGTAATTTAAGCGAGCATTCGAGGAGACGCGCGCAAGGAGGGGGCCTTATGAGCAGGCTTCGCGAACGTCACGAAAAGAGATGGGAGGCATGGCTGTTCAAAGCCGCGAAGGAACATCGCATAATTAATAGACAAAAGATCCATAAGGAAGGATGAAGAGAAAGACGGTCAAGAAATGATTTG